CCATCTTATCGCGCCGTGGCTGCTATTTTTTCACGCTGGATTTCGTGCCACGCTCTTTTTGTTCGCTTCTAAGTTTGAAAAATGCTGTAATACAATAACTGATCTTTGAAAGATGAGACAGTATACAAGAGGACTTAACTTTTACTGGGGCGCGCATGTGCAGCGAAGGTTACGGTAGTCGTTCTGGGTGTCTGTGTGTGTGTGTGTCTGTCTGTCTACGATTATTCTCGCACTACAGGCTACGAGGCGGCTTATGAGCGATACCAACAGCGTTAGCGGAATATACATGGGCTAGAGAAATAAAATGGCGGTTTTGCTGAAACGACTGCGTTCTAGAGCGACAAACTAGCACGGTCGCGGACAGCGTTGCGTGGCCCAACCCATCAATAAGCGGTGCGCATGCGTGTATTATACGCGGCTCACCTCGACCTGATCCGCTTGCTCTGTGTACCTTGGAGGCACATGAAGCCACAGTGAAGGGTGTGTATCGACTCCCGCATGCTATCTCCTACCGTAGCTAGCCCGCGTCAGACTCTCCGCGAGCTACTAGCGGGAGACGCCAATAGCCCAGCCCATCCATTAACGGGTATCGCGCATGCGCAGTTCGCCAAGGGTTTGCACTTCAGTGCTTTTCACTTTGAACGTAAGATGTCTGATATAATATATAGTCTGTCCGGATGCGAGGTCTGCAGTCAAATTGGGAAGTACGCCCATCTTGAGCTATATTATGTAGGCTGCTGTGAAATGAAAATGCCTTGTTGGAAATACAAGTCAGTGTCCATTGATGATGTTAAACATTGCGACAAGTTTCAGATATCTGCGTCTGGCATGTATAGGGGTGGAAGGTTTAGCATGTGCAGCATGTCATTGCAGCTCATGTCCCATATCTTTAGACAAACTTTTGCAAGCTAATTTTTGAACAAATTTGAGGGCTATCTTTCTTGTTGCATGGATTCCATAACTGAGCAGCATACTCTAAATGTGGTCGAATGCATGTCATATACGCAGTACGAAGGGTGAGGGTGTTGGAATAGAATTGTCTGTACAGCATAGCAATTAGTTTCCGCACTTTAAGACATGGGTGTTGGATGTGTTCAAACCATGAGATGCGTTGGTTCACTATATGACTCCCAGGTAGCAGTTGCTCTCAACTCGTTCCAATACTACTGATGGATATTTCTTGAAATAAGCCACCACCGCATTGTCCGTCCCGAGTCGTTGGTCTTGTACTTTTCGGCGAAGTTGGATTTTGCCAGGGACGTCGGGGAAATTTCGTACAATTGTTGCCGCCACAGCACCAGACTAGGAGGCTTTCATGGTTCCCCACACATCCCTCACACTGGTAAGGCGCTCTCTTTCTGTACGCTTCGGTCTTCCGCAATTCTCCAGCGACACTTCGTTTTACATTTCAGTACATGCTGATATATCTTGAGAAGCTAGCAAGGAAGGTTCAAGAGATTGGGAGGGTAGTGACTTCTTCTTCTCGCGTCGTTTCACTTGTACAGTGTTCCATGGGTTGCTTTTCTGCTTTCGCACTGGAGTATAAGGCGGGTCTGATGTTAGCTTCGAGGACGGCTCCAGTACGACAGCATTCAGCGCAGCTCTAGCTTCAGATCCGATACAGCGCCGCTTATTTGCTGCTGACTGTACTCTCGGCAGGAAGAGGGACGCTGAAGGGGCTCTTGCTCTGGGAAATGGTTTCCGAGAGCAATTGGCTGGCAGCATAATTCGGTGGCAGTCGACTTCTTTTTCGGCAGCGTTCTTGTAGCTCGTAGCGACGTGGTCTCTATTCTTTCAGTGGTCCATGAACACATAAGGAAGTTTGCAGTCACTGACTGAGAGACTTTCAATAGTTGTATATTTCGAGGTGCCATGCACGCGGCACTCCTTCCAATATACCCACTGGCCCGGCTGCACTTTGCTGGAGTTCGTGTTGCACCTTTGTCCTTCATCCCAAACCTTGTGAACCACCGTGTGTGCCTGTGTCCTGAAGTGTATTCTCATCCTCTAGTATAGCTACCACTAGGTAGACAGTAATAACAAACAACTATGCTTTCAATTGATACAATATTGTACACAAACGCTAGGAAGACCAGGATGACCCATTGTCTTCCTCACACGTCCAGTCGTCCAGACATGCGTAGTGTGAGATGCATACAGGGAGATGGTAACTGTCTCTTTCGAGCATTTTTTTACATTCTGACAGGGTCTGAGGATCAGCATATGGGTGTACGACATGTTATCCTTGACCACATGACAAATAATTCCCAATATAATTATTCCTAGGCCAACATCTAATAGGCTCAGTATTCGAAGTTATATAGCTTCTACAGTTATGGACCAAGATGGCACCTGGGGAACCAATATTGAGATGCTGTCTTTGGCACACCTGCTCCCCTGTCGCACACAGGAAACCACTTTAATGTTGGGTTGTATAAGAAAGAAACCATATGTGCCTATATACATGGGCTCCCTGAGCATATTGGGGAAGAAGAGGGTGGGTCCCTGACTTGAAGTGGCTTCCCTATTTAATTTTCTAACCACTCTCCTAAACTAAAGTGCCCAGACTTCATGGAGCAAGTGTAGTCATTAACCCTCGAAGGTAGTTTTCTGTGTGTCTGTGTGTCGACGCATATTCTGGCACTATAGAGGCTATGAGGCGGCATATTAGCGATACCAGCGGCTGCAGAACTACGCGAGCCTAAAAAAGAAAAAGTCCTGAAACGACTGCGTTCGAGAGATATGCCGTGAAAACTAGCGGAAAAGCCAATATGCATGATCGCGCCGGCTTACCTCGACCTGATCCGCTCCGGCTCTGTGTATCTTGGAGGCACAAGACAAGTAAAAACGAAGGGCGTGTATCGACTCTCGCGTGCTATCTGCTAGTCCGTGTCAGACTCTCCGCGAGTTATATACTAACACGGAGACCACGAGTAAACGCATACCCACAGCCCAGCCCGCCCAACAATTAGTGGTACCGCGCATGCACAGTTCACCGAGGGTTTGCACTTTTGTGTAGGGAAACTGCACTGACTTTACCACAAAGTTTTAGGGGGCAGTTACTGCATCACAAAGTTGAGGTAGCACACTGCTAGAGGTGAATATCTGTGTTCTCTGTACACTGGCACTTGTGACAGTAATTATATAAGAAGAAAAAGGGAGTGGCTCATCAGTTATTCCTGATAAGCAGTTTTGTAGTGAGTATATAATCCCTCAGGAGACTGGTGTTAGCTCTGACACTAATATGACCCTCTTCCCTTGAGGAGTGCACTCTGCAGTCAGTATAGCTATATGCCTGTTGGGATACTACTGAATTTAAGCTACATACTATACTCACCTAAACATCAGTGCACCTAAAATTAATTATGCTTGCAGTATGTCAGCACACTTTCATACATGACACAGTATTCTGAACAAGGTGGTTACTATATGCCCCTCCTTTCTTAAAACTATTATCAGGTTTCCCCTGGGAAGCTCTCTACCTCTGCAGGTCTCTAAAGGCAGTCACCTTATAGTTATGTACACTTTTGGGTGTGTTCCAATGTTTTAGCGGCGGTCCCAGTGTTTTCGATACTGGGGGAGGCGAAATGTACAAGTTTTTGGTACGGTCATAATAGCTACGCACACGCGGCAGCTGTACGTTTCCTGGTAAAATTCCGATACTATTAGCGGTGTCTCTATCTTGCACAAAGAGACTCTCACAGTCACTGCACGAATATTGCGCATGCGTATTCGGCAACACCCCACACGCATGCGCGCATCAGCGCCTATACATGATCTGCACAATGTCACTTCTGATAAAGACCAATCATGATCACAAAAAAATCGATGCATAAAACCTCAAAAATGAAAACATGACTGATTGAATTACATAAAAGGCTCTGTATACGCACAAGTAACACGTATAAATCGCAAAAAAACGACACTCTAGCTAGATTGTACCTATCAGGGGGCTGCTGACACGTCAGACGTGTTTGTATCACTGCCTGGCAACTGCTGTTGCTGGGCGGGGTTTGGCGGGGGTTGCAAGTATTGGACTCGTCGTTGCCGTTGACGTCGATGCTGTTGTTGCCTTTGTTGTTGTTGTTGTTGTTGTTGCAGTTCTTGTTGTTGTACTTGCAGTTGCCTTTGTTGCAGTTCTTGTTGTTGTTGTACTTGCAGTTGCCTTTGTTGCAGCTGTTGTTTTGCCAGTGGCAGTACTTGCTTTAAGTCAGTGTAAGGAATAATTGTTTGCCGTGTAAGGGGCACTGGTGTCTCCAACCATAGCCAGCAATCTCAGGGAGGTGGACCTGTTCAAGCTAGTGTAAAACCTACTCCTAGCCTTTTACTACTCCTCTGCACTATAATTTGGGTAGTTCCTCACTCTTTGATTCCGTACATATATACCATCTTTATGTTCTAAGGTGCTGGACTGCAACTGCCCTTGTCAAGACCTGACAAGCTTGTACATACACCCATTTTGTACTACTGGCTTTTTGGCCTCCATCTTTCACTTCAGCTGGGTATATATATAGACCTCTTTAAAAGAGTGAACTCTCCCACACAACAAAATTACATGCATTGTACATCCCTTTCACCGATTGCTGTGCAATGATTTTGGACTAGATTTCTTACTTGGGTATATATGCGCCCGCTACGCGCGAGAGGCGCGCAAGTGCGCGGCAAAACGTCACCTTTTTGGGATCCACAGCGCGACCCCGCCGCTCCATAGCCGTATATATGTATGCGTGAAGCAGCCACTCCCCCTTGCTCTGAAGCGCGAAAAGGGTGGAGCTGAACATGCGCTAAAAATGAGTGGTATATAGAAGTGGAAAAAGTGGAAAAATCATTTCTTATGAAGAAATGATTTTACACTTGTTATGCCAACTGTTATGCGTATGTAAGTTTCAAAGGAGGGACTGGGAATATGCCTCAGCGCACATTTTGATCTGTCATGATGTGGAGCAGGAAAACTGCCGACTGGTGAATACCTCAACATCAATAATAGCGACAAAAATATCCACCCTTGCAAATGCACGATAACTAATTCACTAGTGTTTGTAGTGTCTTACTTGTTCAGGTTATGATTATCAAATGCACAAGGTTTCCTATTAAAGGCATCGATGTTGTTGAGCAACACTGACACTGCATCACGAGAAGAATAGTGACTATAGTGCCTAATACATAATTTTAACTCACACTATACAAGTTGTAAAAAAAAGAGAGTCAGGATCATATCCTGCATTGTTGAACAACACCTGTTAACTGAGAAAATGGAGTGGTGTGTAAATATACCCACGAAACGAGTATGAAATGAAGTAGAGTATAACTCTGAAGTACAGATACGGGTGGGAAGATATTAAAATTAATAATATGGTACGGTAGCAAATTCAATGAAAAGCACTGAAGTGCAAACCCTCGGCGCATTGTGACGCGCACGCGTTAGTAAACGCATGCGCTGTATCACTAATTTATTGGCTGGGTTTAGTTCTGGCTGTTATACTCCTGGTCTCTATCCATCTAGCTACACTACTACACAGCATGCGAGAGGCGATACACTCCCTGCGTTGCATCTTCTGGTGCCTCCGAGGTCGCAGAGCACGCGGATCGATCAGACCGCGGTAAGCCATCATCCCGTCCGTTGCGTATTTGCATATTGGCTTTTTCGTGCTCTAGCTTTGCAACGGAGCATTTTCAGAGAAAATCGCCTTTATTTTCTGACTTTCGTCGCCCGTTTGGTAGATGGTATCGTTTCTGGGACGAACAGACGTTCGAGAAGTGAGATGTAGAGTAACAGACAGACACACACACGCACAGTCAGACCCAATGAAAAGCACTAAAGTGCAAACCCTCGGCGAACTGGGGATGCGTGGTACTGCTAATTGATGAGCTGGGCTGCTATTAGTATGCGTTTACTCGTGGTCTCCCGCCAGAGAGTCTGACACGGGCTAGCTACAGTAGTAGATAGTATGCGAGAGTCGATACACGCCCTTCGTTGTGACTTCTTGTGCCTTCAAGATACACAGAGCAAGCGGACCCGGTCGAGGTTAAAAAGCCTGTTGAAAATATAAGCGCATGCGCATTTTCCGCGGCGATAAAATGGCCGACTACGCATTAGCCGCAGAATGCCGGAAGCGCTCTAGCTTTGCAACGGAGCATTTTCAGAGAAAACCGCCTTTATTTTCTAACCTTCATTGCCCGTTAAGTAGGTCGCATCGTTTGTGAGACGAGCAGACATTCGAGAAGTGAGATTGAGAGTAACAGACAGACAGACAGACAGACAAACCCAACTACAGTACCCTCGCTGCGCATGCGCGCCGAGGGTAATGAAAAGCACTGAAGTGCAAACCCTCGGCGCACTGTGATGCGCACGCGCAAGTAAACGCATGCGCCAGTACCACTAATTGATGGCTGGGTTTAGTTTAGCTGTCACTCGTGGTCTCTTCCCAGCTCGCGCCGAGTCTGACGCGGGGCTAACTACACTGCTAGATAGCATGCGAGAGGCGATTCACGCCCTGCGTTGCATCTTCTGGTGCCCCCGAAGTACGCAGAGCACGCGGATCGATCCGACTGCGGTAAGCCATCCCGTCCGTTGTGTATTTGCATATTGGCTTTTTCGCGCTCTAGCTTTGCAACGGAGCATTTTCTGAGAAAACCGCCTTTATTTTCTGACCTTCATTGCCCGTTCAGTAGGTCGTATCCTTTGTGAGACGAACAAACACTCGAGAAGTGAGATTGAGAGTAACAGACAGACGGACAGACAGACAGACAAACCCAACCCTCGCTGCGCATGCGCGCCGAGGGTTAATGAAAAGCACTAAAGTGCAAACCCTCGGCGAAGCATCTCGCAGAGAGTCTGACACGGGCTAGCTACAGTAGTAGATAGCACGCGAGAGTCGATACACGCCATTCGTTGTGACTTCTTGTGCCTTCAAGATAGACGGACCCGGTGCTAAATATAAGCGCATGCGCATTATCCGCCAGCGATTAAAATGGCGACTACGGCATTAGCCATACAATGCTGGAAGCGCTCTAGCTCTGCAACGGAGCATTTTCAGAGAATACCCCACATATTTTCTGACCCTCGTCGCCCGTTGGGTAGATGGTATCGTTTCTGGGACGAACAGACACCGAGAAGTGAGCAACAGACGACAGACAGACAGACAAACCAACTACAGTACCCTCGGCTGCGCATGCGCGCCGAGGGTAATCATAAGTCGGTAGTCAGTCGGCCTGTCAGGCAGTCAGTCAGCCTGCCTGTCTGAATGCCCTGTGCTCTGCACCGATAATGAAATGGCGGATCAAGGATTTTGAAAAAGGAGTTCCGCTGTCCAGAAGGTTTTTCGACTGCGCAAGGCCGGCAACGCATGGGCTCAAACGGGGATGGGCCACGCAACGCGATCCGCGACCGTGCAGGTTTCTCGCTCTCGATGGCGGTCGTTTCACAGCAAAAATCGCCATTTTAATTACCGCTAAAGCTTTGGTATTACTCATAAACCGCTCGTAGCCTGAAGTGCGAGAATAGTCGTTGACAGACAGACGCACACACCACACACAAAACGACTACCGCTACCCACGCATCCTCAGGCACTTGGATGTGGTGGTCGGAGCTTTGATGTTGCTTTCATCTACCCTTTCAGTAAAAACAAAACAATAAGGTCCGGATTGAGTCAGCAGGCTGAAAGCAGGCGCAGAGGTTGTGCGTAGGTTGTTAAACGGCAGAAAGAAAGATCGCCACATGCGCGCGTGCGCGAGATGAAAAGGGTGTGTCGACTTGGGCAGAATTACGCATGCGTGCAGGAGAGTTGTTGAAAAACGCGCAGAAGCCGAATTACGGTGGCTTTTTGCGGCCATCGTCCGTTGTAGATACTTCCATTCTAGTAACTTCCGTTCTAATCTTCACTGCTAAAAAGCTAGCTAGCTATTTAGCTAGCTAAAAGTTCAAGCTGGTGGATAGCTGAGATAGTTCTACACGCCGCCTCCGGTCCCTCATGGACAAGCGCGTCTTTCCTCCTCGGACGCTAGACGTCTTCTGCGAGCTCTGTCTCTCGCTACATCGCTTTCAGCGCACGATGATTCTCTGTTGCGGTTAGCGCCGGGGTGAGTATTTCTGGGTATCTGCTCCGGAGCTTTGACTTTGCTGTTGCGGGTAGCAATAAGGGACCCTATTGATGTTGCTGTGCATAACGAGGCTCGCATCACGTGAATATTTAACCCACGGCGCCCATGCGCAGCGAGGGTTCCGTTAGTTGTGGTTGTCTTTCTGTCTGTTACCCGACATCGCACTTCACGAGCCATGGATCGCTCCACAAACAATACTACTTATTCAGCTTCGGATAAAGGTCAAAAAGATGTGGGGTTATCTCCGAAACTGCGTTCGAGAGTTATGGCGTGCCGGTAACACGAGCGGAAAAGCCAATATATAATTATTCTTACCTCGACCTGGTCCGCATGCTCTGTGTATTCGAAGGTTACTAGCGGGCTACTAGCGGAAGACCCACGAGTAACGCCATAGCTAAGCCCATCATGTTAGCGGTACCGCATGTGCAGTTAGCCGAGTTTTGCACTTTAGTGCTTGCATTATTTGGCAGTGACAGATCCAGACCGCTAGATAGACGGCCCGTTGCTCAAGACTAGATTGGCTGCAATAATAATTATGGAAAATTCCACATTCAGATACCTGCCAAGAAAAGTTCCTAAAAACGCCAAACTATATATGTGTTACCCAGACCAAAATAAAGTAGCTATGCATCTTTGGAGTGGCAATTAAGTTTTGTAAATAATCTAGCTTACTACTGCTTTTGGTGCTTCTTGATATTTTACTGTTTTGTGATGGGAGCCGTAACTAAGTGGAAACATTAATCTTCTCAATAAAGGTGGATATAGGGATGGTTTGAAGCACCATAAAGGAAGACACAAGGGGTCATTGTACGACTACATGACAAAATCCCTCTGTCATCTTAGCAGCAAATGGCGTGCTCAGCGTCTCATACCATCGAAGAGCTCCAGATATCTAAACCTGCGATGAAGAAAGCAACAATCGCTTGATGTCCTTCACACCTCCAGCAAAGTGTGAGACATTGTTAGTAAAAAAAATAGCGCTTCACTGGGCTCCGGTAAGCAAATAGCTAGCAGGTTACTGAAGAAGATGAAGAATGCATGGTGAGTTGTTCTCACCAATTTTTGAGGTGTTTTTGTAAGCAGATCATGTGAGATTGACCTGTGCCATCTATATATATAGCATCTACCAATGACCTGAATGGCCCTTACCGAGGCCCTACCTACAACAGATGGTTAACGATATGTGCACTATTGTTTTACTCACAAAAATACCATATAATACATACGTACTCTACCCTACAAATACCATAGATAGTAGCTAACCACGGAGGTATATAATTATGAGCAACTCCTACCACAATCAATTTTTAACTTTCCTAACTTAACTACTTAATGTGTATGTGCCCTACCAAACACCCCACTAGGTAGTTACACATACGCTACATGTACATCAAGCTCTTTTAACACTATATTATAGACAATACAATCTACGGCCTTTGGGAGAACAAAGCATGTCCAATAGGTATATGTATGCTAGATAAAGCAAGAGACACAATGGCGCGTAGCGCCCAACGGTGAGTGCTTTATCGTAGTATACATACTTGTCTCGCTAGCCAGACCCTCACGCAAGGAGAGAGGGTCCAGTCAAACTGCTGTAGTAGAGTTGTGCCGTTTCAATGGCATCAACGAACGTTGATAGCTACATGCAATAAAGAAATGTAAGTTAGGGTCCAATCTATATATAATATACCAGTAACATTCCAAAACTTCAAGACATTCAATGGGGATTATACCTGGTTCGAGCAACCGTGAACTTTACGGAGCGAGTCCCCTAGGTGTCGGTTGTGTACGGCCACAGAGAAGCCCTCGCAAGCGCAGAAATACCCCGGCGCAAGACGATCGCGCACCTAAATACACTAACGTACTACGCATGCGCAAAAAGTTCCGCTTAATAATTAGACGGGGGGACCAGTCTTCACCGGGCCCCGCAATAGTACATCTGGCCCCGGCCGGCCGCTGTAGTCATTGCGTCATGCGTACAACGATGTGGACATTCGTGGCCAACGTTACGCTGAGGGCAAGCAGCATTGGCTTTTTCACGTTGTTTGCGTATAATAGCTACATCCGCTTATTATCGCAAGGTATAGCTACCGCCGACAAATCACTGTGCTTTTGTCCAGTAAGTTTGCGAGAGTGTTAGCTAGTCATGTTGGGCGTCAATGTCTTGATACCATACAATGATGTTTGTATTAGCTACTAGACTTTATGAGCAGTCTCTCGTGATCTGGGAAACTGGAGGATAGATAGGGCTGGAAACACTGGAGGGTGAAGGTGCATGAGAGTTGAACGATTGGCGACACCTTAACACTTAACCAGTAACCGAAACATAATGTATCCAAAACCATAAGTCCATAAGATTTATAATACTTGGCACTTTGGCCATAGCTACATGATTTTCTGCTTATTAATTTAGAGGAGATACCCATGGTGTCCAAAGGGGTAAAAGTATCGTCAAGTCCCCAGGCTACACTCTCTAACAGCAATAAAGGTGGACACGATGACATAAGCTGCTGATAAATACTAGAAATGGTAAACCTTTCAAAGTGAGGCTGGGGTACATTGGGTTTTCAGACACTTCATACCTCAACATGCACATGAAGAGACAGAAAAGGAAGAGAATTACAATGTTAAACTTCACAATATTGAAAGAGAATTATTTTTTTCACCAAACAGTTCTGAATAATAAATGAACACACTCCTTTAACAATAAAAGTTCACTACGTGCTAACAAAGTTTTTCATTCAGCAGCTACCCCATGTTCATAGAGAACTGCAAAAAAAACGCAAAGTAGTTACATGTGCGGTATTTGTGTCAAAATTACCTTCTTAGTTGCTCTTTGCCCATCACAGTTGATGGCTTCAACAGTTACTGTTTCAATTTCATCTTGTGAATCAAAAATCTCATAGAATGGATCACCTGGATATTGTTCAGACCGCATCACTAATGCTCACACAAACTGGTGCAAAAACTGTCATATTTACTAGTATAAACCAGAGCCTGAAAAATTTAACTGGTAACTTAGCTTCTTTTCCAGGCCTTCAATGTATTATATCTGTGGTAAAGGTTTATGACTTTAGCACACTAGCCACCGGCACATGAATGTGCCAAAAGATTCCATAAGTCCATAAGAATTTATAATTATGGGAGTTATAATACTATGTGCCAATATCTTATTTAAGCAGATCCCCATGGCGTCCAAAGGGTTAGATCGCAAAATATAATATGTCGATGATAAAAACATTATTGTCTGGGGAGGACCTGGGAATAAAGCTAGAGTGTTAATATTTATAGCTATAACTCTCACATTCTATACGAGGTTTGTCATTGACAGTGCAGAAGGTGCCTTGGTCAAGTGCAGGAGCAGAGCCATCATCCACAGTACACATTAGGTTCTTCCCTTCCACTGTGCAATCAATTGTGAAATTCTGCAACTCCATCACCATAGTCTCACTAGCAGATTTAGAGAACCATGACAACATGTTAGGTAATGAATAATGTATATACTAGCTACTGACTCGAACAACTCAATGAGTGACAGAGCTTGTTGTCTCACAGCTGGAGTGCAAGCCTCGCGATTCCTCAGAGCCAGGAACAGAGTCTTCTTCGAAAAGTCTGAAACACAACTTGAGTTATTAACAGATAGAACTCTTTGTTAAAGGGAATGTGTCAGTATGTAAGGGGTAAATTTAGAAATGTTACTAAAGATAGAACAGAGCAACAATAGGGCCAAGTGCAAGAATGCAAGTAAGTTTCTGTTGTAGTAACGGTTTTTAAATTTAGCATTTTATACCGCCACATTGCCTTTAACATACCCGTTCCATTAGAAGATTGTCGACGAACTCTCTCATTGGGAATCTCATCATAATAATCTATTTCTAATTGCAATGGAGATGAGTGATTGAATAGTTAGCTAATGTACAAAGCAGGACAAACTACTCACCACTTATGGCACGTTTCTTCCTCTCTATGCCTAAAAATGAAAAGTCATCTAGAGAAAAAGAAAAGTTAGGTTTTTAAAACCATATTGTCACGCAGTGGGTTATACCAATGGTTTGATTCGGGTCGTTGGTTTCAAAATCTAAATCATCTGGAATGGAATTAAACAGTGGCTCGTTCATCTGTCTCAGTTCTTCCTCTTCCTCAGGAGTTGGAATCAGTCCCTGGGGTACACAATCAGTGTTGAAAAATCACATTTCTACCATAGTTATCTTGCATTAGGACTGAGTCGCCAAGTAACAGATCACATTAATTCAACTCTTATACAGTAGTATAAAAGTATAGGTTATACGATGGCGGCGCGTGGTTTACTGGTTTTACACGAGTGGCCAGTTTTGATAGGGCACGAGGGCGTAGCCCGAGTGGTCTATCAAAACTGAAGCCACGAGTGTACAACCAGTAAACCACAAGCAAAGCCATCGTATAACGTGTTTGTATGATGACATCCCGCGGTAAGGCTCTGACCAATGAGATCGCACAAAAGCTTTCAAAATGCCCTCTTTTTTTAACGCACACCCTCGAGTGTACGGCCGGAGAGAGCTAGCGACCGACCGGGAGCGGAGAGACAGCTGCAATACGCGCTTTAGTTTGGTCAAGCTGGGCGGTTGTGCAGAAGCCATGGTCATTTTTTCGAGAGTTCAACGTTACAAGTACGTCACTTTTTCGCTGCTGGACTCCACGCGAGTTTTGTAGCTGCCGCTCTGGCTCGCTTTCTCTCCCGCTATACCCAGCGCTCTCGAATGCAGCCTGTTGCAGTAGAAAGAAAGCTGAAAGTCACATACTGTTCCAGTCTACGGGAGCCTACGCGTCGGGAAGCAGTTTTCAGCTAGTTTTCAGACCGCGTATATACTAGAGCAGTTTCTGGCCATTCTAGTCTGAAAACACTCCCTTCTGGTAAAGAAACAGCAGCACACAAAGAGTGTGAAAGCCCCCTAATTGCATTACACGCTGCCAATTTCCTACTATCGTATATAACTACCATATACCCATTGTGGTTTATGCAAATAAGTTTACATACAGCTAAAGTATGGGGAAATCGTATGGCCTCTTTATGGTATAACTACCCGTAAACTCAGCAGGAAGCGCTCACTACGCGTGTACGTTGTTTGGACTAGCTGGAATTCCTTTGATCTTACTCTCAGTCATCATGCAAACATTATTTACTTACCCGTGGATCAATTATGAACAGCTGGAAATATGCATATCTGCCAATTATGACCAGGGGACCTGTAGGAGTTATACTGCATAATTATGTAAGCATGGAAAATTTGCACTATAGAGCAAAGTGTTTAAACCTCATGCTACTGTTGTTGCTTGCCCAAGGCCATAATAGTTAACTGACTTGTGGTAAGATAACCAGTAATTTTTGAAAGGCAAGCTCAACAGATATTCACACCATAATAGGCACAAAATTAATTGCTACGTGGCTAGCTAGCCATACATCGAACCTTAGTAGCTCACTATACACATGGTGTTCAAAATGAGGACCCTGGTTTGAATCTGAACACTTGCAACTCATTTGCTCCTTTTCTTTCATTATTACCCACGAAAATGTGAGGGTCAGCAAAACCAGCACTATTAAGTACAAGTTACGATGAAGTAAAGCTCAGTAGCTATCACCATAAAAGGTAAAACTTAGTATTATATACAAAGTCTTTCAAACCTGGTCCAAAGAAGTGAGGATAGTCCTCTTCTCTCGGACCAGTGACACGAGTAACATAGGTATCAATTTTTCCCAGTGCATTGAACGTTTGCAGAAGTCGAATACCTTCATATCTATAGAAAGATAGGCATTGTACTTGACACTCATACTTTTGCCATAGATTCAGTAAATTCTCTAAGCCTCACAGTCCAGTCTCAGTGCCATCAGTGTCTGCTATCCGGATGGTACTATCAGTATAGTTGACCGACTCATTTAGGAGTACAATTCTACTAATGAATCGAAAGCCTCCCCCTGCTTGCCTCTTCTTACGACGCCAGAAGTTGTGCTGTATTGACAATAGAAAATGCGGTAGAAAAACAACAGTTGTGCCCAACACACATTACACGGAAGGTTCGAGCAGGTATAACTGACATGACAGAGTGTATAGTCAGACTAAAAACAGCAAGTTTCAATTTGATTTTGTGTACACAAACATGCTTTGTCTTATTGTATTATTTTAACGTAACAACTTCTTAAATTCAGTCCTTTTTAGGAACACAAACTCACAAAGTTTGCCACATCTTCCCTCATTCTCAGGCCTGAAGGATATTCAGGGAAAATATCTTTGTAGGTGACACCAGAGTAAGTGTCACGCCTTCTTCTTCCACTACCTTGATCTTGAGTTAAATAAAAATACAAATTCACTTCTCCTCCCTTTTTCAAACAGTCCACACTGAATTTTGACTAAATACTCTTTCCCCCACAAGCTTTAAACATTAATTTAGAGGGCCATAAGTGTGTGTGAACTGTGGAGTTTTGTATGGGCGGTATCCAGGAACACTGGATGCTGCAGACTGGTAGCTACATTTTTTGTTTCAAATATTGCCAAGCTTATGCCATTAAAGGCTTATGAACTGCAGTGGGATTTGCTTGTGACTGGCATTAAACATAAACACTACATTCAACTGCTTGCTCCTTTCATCACACTGCACAGAAAAAGTAAAATATAGCTACCTATGAAAATACTCAAAATTTCACAGATGCACATGCTGGCATTGTAGTACAAAGTGTTGCATTACTGTTATTTGGTGACAGCATTTCCCCAGCACCACTTCCAGCAGGACACACAGAGGAGTTGAAATCCATTGGTGTTAAACAACCTGTGGAGTAGTCATCGGACAAGTTACAACAGTAACAAAGAAAATACACACTATGTATAGCATCTATGATAGTATATAAAGAGTCACCTCTTCGATCCCTGTCAGCCTCCCTAAAGCAGATGACGTACATCTCAAAGCCACCAAGTTTCTTATTTTCACTTGTGCGGAAGTAAACAGTGAAATTCCCAGACTGCAACTCCGATACAGTGGCATTGGGAATAGAGTTGCCACATATCTCGCTAGTTCCGGAAATGCCACGGTCGATTAGGATATAGTCCTGACACCTGTGGGGTGAGAGCTTCTTGGATGCCATATTTCTGCCATTAATGAGAACCTGACTGCTAGAAAGCTATAATTATAACAACCTTCGGATTTGAGTTACGCTAGAAAAGACTGCTAGAGAATCTATATAGAAACCTTCTGGCATATAGACTGCTAAGTAGAGAACCTAAAACGTTTGCTTTGCAAGCAAAAAGTAACTAGTGCCAAGTTCTTATGGAGGCTCAGGACACATTTAGCTATGCGTTCGTGGCTAGAATATGACTTGCACTAGTTGTTACACTACCTTTGTTTTCCGTTTTCCAAACAGTCTTCGTTTCCCTGTAGGTCGATTTCCGTGACACTAAAGAATGCTAGTCGGCCCTCGTCACACTTAATGTTGTACTGTCCGAGGAGTTGATTGTCATACCTAAACAGGACAAACACAACAGGACCAAAAATCACTTAGTTATCACAGTCATCATCAGCATCAAAAGGTTTACTTTTTCCCGAGAATAAATCCAGGGGAATAAATTATCTTTGTGTGAACTGTGCCAGGAGTTGTGATCTCTCTGATTTGCTCATTTTTACGTTTCACTCGACACCGTATTCCACCTGCACCATCTCCTTCCATTTTAGTATAGTGCATTGAATATTGACTGCATTGTGAGAGATACACTAAATTATCACATTGAACAAGTTACAAATGTACGTGAAGAGCACAAACAGATATCACTTTCAATCTCTAAACTAGCAACACACTCACTTGTCTGAAGCTTCCCTTGATCCTTGGATTTAACTTTATACAAGGCACGTTGTCCAATCTACTCAGAAGACATCGAGGAATCTGCTGCTGCGACAGGCTGTAAGGAAGATAAACCAATATTAAACATGAGGAATAATACAACAGAAATCAGAATGTCACGTTGATGCTCTATGCATTATCAACAGGCTTGGTGTATTATGCGCGACACCTATCAGACGCCATATAAATGTGATATGTTCACTACTCTCGTACGGATGGCACAGCTAGGTCACTCCCATAATCCAAGCACAGCGATTAAGCTTGCCTGGGAGCTAAACTAGTATATGTGAACGCATCAAGTAAAATAGGGCGTTCGCCACATTATAATGCTTCCCTGTGTACGCACGAGCCATACACGGGGCGGAGGGGAAACCCCTTACGTAGAGCGCAATGCGCGTTGCGCGTAATACTCTCGCGCGTGGCTAATCGTCGCCATATCGCGCATGCAAATTCTCTATTCATTGTACTACGTAATTCATTCACAAACTCAAACTTGTCTCTGTGTGTCATAGCCCCTATTTTTACTTGATGCGCTCACATATACTACTGATCACTATTACACCAGTAAACTGATTACACTGACATTTACCTACACTAAGCAACTAACTTCGCATTATTCCATAATGGGGGTGCAGTAGTGCATGCACAACTCGATAACCACGAGAGCCCCCTAACCCCTCACAGAACACCCGTAGCCTACACACTCCAATAATTGTGTAGATATATACTACATAATAGATGGACGACGAGTCATAGGAAGCTACTCTGGTTATGGAGGCCGAGCCCTGGGGCTGTGGCATTTGAAGCACAGCGAGGACACTTATACAGGGCTCGAAGCTTCCTAAATCATGTGGTTTCGATGACGGCTCATTTTCTAACTCTGTTAGAGTATGGCACATGCAAAACAATTGTAAAAATGTTTCAAAGACCCCACTATCCAGTAGCGTTCCTCAATAGTATTCCTCGTTCTTTCTCCTCATCCTAAAGAGTAAACTACATTGACTAGCTTTCTCCTAGTTGGCCAATCAGGTATTTAAAACTTGCATTACTCTAAACCTGAGTAGCTATAGACTCACCCAACAACAGCAGTCAGAACAAGGAGAGTCAGAGTAGCCTCCATATCTACTCACCCCACAGACACCTGCTCACCTCCTATATGGCATCAATAGTGAGTACTCATTTTCATTGTAATGTCTAAGGTTTTCTCTCCATTGACCTATAGACATTGTACATTTCCTTAACTTTATATAGTAGGCAAATAGATACTCATTGCATGTCAACAAATTGCTGTACTTTTTAGTGCAGCCAGAGTGATTGTATTGTACTGATGCCAAAACTTGAAAGCCAATAGATAGCCACTCAGTGCAATAGTTGTGATAGGCTAACTTTAAATATACAGACCCACTGTCATAGTTACCAACCATCTTGCATTCTGCTATTTCCCATCCCTCCCAATTTACACATGTTTGTGCCAATCCGGGATGTGTCTGGGCAGAAACCTTCCATATCAAGCACAGTTCTCAAGCAAAGGTTTATCCGCAAGTTGGTATGAATGCATTAGGATGTAGAAAACTATAAGAACATATTTATGCCCTCTAGTCTTCCATTTGCATAATGCAAACATCATACTTAGAAGTGGTGTAGTACTACAGTCTCGAAAGTGTGTGATAATCATGGTGCCAGATGTCAACCTGTGTCACACTACTATGGAATGTTAGTCTGTGAAGTATGAGCTTGCTCTATATGCATACAATGTTAGCTGAACAGCCAAAACACCAAGCTATATATAGGTACCTTCCTATCCACCATCACATCTAACATTACGTATCTATATTATGTTTAGCTAAACTTATTGCCAGTACCTTGCCTCTGCATCTGGATAGCTAGCAACTTATACTTGCATGCGAGCTCACACATGACCAGGTTCATTTTCATTAGAATAGAGTGTATATACATACCAAGTGAAATCCCGTCTCTGTAAGTCAAAGCACTAGCGCTGGTGTGGAGCCCTCACGGTGTGTGACGTGGCGACTGCGCGTACGTCGTATATCCTACTGCGCTTGCATTATTGCGCAAGCGCATTGAACCGCCGCTTTAATGTGCGCATGCGTGAAAACCACGTGCATAACAGTGCCCAGATAGCTTCGTTCCCTAAAAGGTGTTGCACCTGTTCTAAAATGTAAGCGTTATTTTAAAGCTAGAACTTTTCACAATACTCTAGTCAAATAATAATAATCATACAACTTATTATAATTAGCTATTTGAAAGACTATTGTGAAAGGTTCTAGCTTTAGCTATGCAGCCTAGTCAACTAAGAATAATTAGTAAGCGTTATTAAATGATGAGCTGCAAGAACAGAGAAATGTTTAAAAAGCCACAAGTTTTTTTAGCAAAAATGAGAAAAAACTCAAGTGTACAAAACTACGACACAACACTGCGACGACTCCCTATCAGTGGATAGAAAAACAGAGAGCCTGAAATGCTGGTGCAGGAATAAATGTCACCTGATCTGGGAAAAGGGCCCTTCAGAACTCAGATATAGCGCCTTTTCCTTATAATTATTGATCTTTACTCAAGAAAATTGAGGGTGATTGAACATTATACTACTGCCCTGAAGGTGTGTGACATTACTACATAATCATGATGGCAGATGTCAGCTTTTGTCACACTACTATGGAATGTTAGTCAGTGAAGTATAAACTTGCTAGCTATAATTATTGTGCATACAATGTTAGCTGCACAGCCAAAACACCTCGCAGGTACATTTCTGTCCACCACGGCATATATATGACATTACATACCTATAATTATATATATATACAATATACAAGTTTTGTTCAGCGTAGTGCTTAGCTAAAACTTATTGCTAGTATTACTTCCTAGTTAGCTAGCTATAGCTAGCTAACTTTTACTTGCATGCGAGCTCATACATGACCAGGTTCATTTTCACTAGAATAGAGTGTACATACGGGGAGCGACTGCGCATATATAATATGCTACTGCGCATGCGCATAATATTTGTTGACAAAGAACAAGGGAGGCTATTACTGGTACGCAAACGCTTTCAACCGCCGCTTAATTCGTCGCTGTGCGCATGCGAAAAAATTACTTACATAACAGTGCCCAGATCGCTTTATTCGCTAAATATTTCTAAATGCCTAAGAATAAACTTAAAATGATGAACAGAGAGATGATAAAAACCCAGCAATAATCAGCAAACTCGAATTCACAACTAGGAAATGACACTGCCACGACTTCCTTTAATGGATGAAAAAACTGATAACCCGGAATGCAGGCGCATGAATGTGTGATATATTATAATCTGAGAAAAGGGCCCTTAAGAAGTAATTTTTCAAGATATGTATACCTTTTTTTCCCCTTATTATTACAGATCGATCTCTGCTCAAGAAAAATGAGGGTGATACAACATGCTTGCCTGAATACAGAACATTCAGAAATAAAAATTTTGAGAAACACCCTATTCACACATCCCAACTTTACGATCCCCACAGCCATTCACTGTCCTGCAACTTGTGAAACTAAAAGACTGAAATTTTGTACGAAGATAGGGAGGTAGGTATAGTGTACCCACCCTACAGCACAATAAAACACAAATCACCGGTGTGTGTTGATATATACAGTGTTTAGTATGTGCCTCTATCATATAACTGTTGTCCGTAAAAGTTAAGGGCCCTTTTCATCAGGTCACATACACACAGGCAGGGATTGTCGCTGCTAGCTATATGAGCATAACTGCGGCATCATCTTCGAGTGTCAAAGATCGCCGCCGCAATTATTGCAGTGTTTCGGAGTTTGTGCACATGCGCAACTCTTCTTTAATAACACGTGCAGATGTTTATACGCTGGTGATTATTTTTCCTGGCAAGTTAACACGGAAAGAATAGCACTCACCACCTGTTCTGTGGGTGATCTATGTAGTATTTAAAGGTGTCAGAAAACGTGATAATAACAGTCACTTTAAATCATAAAAACACCGCTAGTCAAGAATAAAAATAGCACAACATCATACTACACTAACATTATAACTAATACATCATTATCATGATCTGGTATGAGTGTTTATATATGAGTTCGGGTATAAAATCATGCTGATTAAGTCACATTCAAGACCTGGAGAGTAAGAAAAGAATTCAAATGAACAATAACACACCACAGGAATTTCAGAGTGATATACATTTTACACCAGGCAAACAGTTATACCCTCGGCGAACTGCGATACCGCTAACTGGGCTATTAGTATCAGTTTACTCGTGGTTTCCCGCTAGTAGCTCGCAAAGACTTTGACACGGACTAGCTACAGTATAGATAGCATGCGGGAGTCGATACACGCCATTCGTTGTGACTTCTTGTGGCTCCAAGGTACGCAGAGCAAGCGGACCCGGTCGAGGTAAACCTGCTAATGAGCATATTGGCTTTTCACTTGCTTTTCACGCCATAATTTCTGAACGCAGTAATTATACAAAAATCGTCTGTTTTTTAAATGAAGCCAGTGTAGCAATAACCGGTTGGTATTGCTGGTTTCTTGTCTCGTTGCACGTAGTCACAGAAATCGTGGTAACAGACAGACAGACAGACAGACAGACACACTCATGAACCAATGAAAAGCACTGAAGTGCAAACCCTCGGCGAACTACGCATGCGCGGTATATTAGTATGCGTTTACTCGTGGTCTCCGGCTAGTATATAGCTCGCAGAGAGTCTGACACGGGCTAGCTACATTAGTAGATTAGCATGCGAGAGTCGATACACGCCCTTCGTTGTGACTTCTTGTGACTTCAAAATACACAGAGCAAGCAGACCCGGTCCTGTGCTAAATATAAGCGCATGCGCATTTTCCGCAGCGATAAAATGGCCGACTACGCATTAGCCGTACAATGGTGGAAGCGTTCTAGCTTTGCAACGGAGCGTTTTCAGAGATAACCGTTCGAAATTTCTAACCTTCATTGCCCATTCGGTAGGTGGTATCCTTTGTGAGACGAAAGAACACTCGAGAAGTGAGATGAAGAGTAACAGACAGACAGACAGACAAACCCAACTACTGTAACCCTCGCTGCGCATGCGCGCCGAGGGTTAACTACAGTATATAACCCTTGCTGCACATTAACGCTGAGGGTTAATAACAATAGTGCTCTATTATAAGTACAGCAAAGTGATTTTAGTCACACCCACAGGCAGTAAAGTTCATACTTTAAGTGTTAATGCCTTGAGATTAGACGAAGCTTGCTAGTGTCGCTGCAAACAAGGGGGTAATATTGCTAAAAGTTAAAGAATGTGCTTGACAATTATGCACCCACATGTTCCTTTCACTCTTTTCACTACGCCAATGCTCAGCTATGTGATTTCTTCTACACGACTTATTCACTGAGATGCTATAGTTGTTGCGTACCTCCATTGCTCGCTGTCCAAGACAGTTGATGGCACTAACAGTCACAGTTGAGTTTGGAGGAGGTGAAAGTCCAATAGGACCACCAAACGGCTCACCTATCAGGTACAAAGAAACCACAGTTTACTTCATATCAAACCCTTTAGAGCCTCACAGGAAGAATGTAACTCCCTATGGAAGGATGTCCTTTTACATTGCATGTTCATTGCCGAGCGCGTTAGCGTGAGGCAACTACTCCGGGTTGTATTCTCGCGATATGCGTATGTACGTACGTATGTGTCGGTCACGCTTAAGAGTGTCAATTAGTCACGCTTAGGAATGTCAACTTCCGCCATTCATAGGAAGTCTAGCTTCCGCCATGCGTGCAGATTCGTAGGAAGTCTGGCTTCGCGCGCAGTCAGTAGAGCGTGCACACGAGCGGCCTCAGTCGGACTGTTTACGCATTGGCCGGCAGGCGCGAGGCAAAATATGCGCGTGCGCTTTCCTAGTAATATAATACTTTTGGTTCGAATCCCACTGCTAGAGCTTTACTTTCTACCTTTCCTCTCTTCCGGACTATGGATTTTCATTTTTGCCATTCTTTCAGTCTATATACCATGCATTGGGAGCGAGATCCATGAATTAATCAAACCCAATGAACAAAAGCTATCTGTGCTAGCGCTGATTACACAGGGGTGGTCTAAAGTAGCACTACACTAAAGAATTTTGTGGCTCACAACCAAACTGGCCGAGGTCATCAATTCTGCACATGGTTCTCCCAGGTAGTGTGGCACTCTGACGGCTACAGGAAAGCATTGTGTTGTCTGGGGTCAGAGTACACGTGATATTGAACACCCTCAGTTGATTCACAAAGTCTTCGTCAATGCTAGAGTTTAAAGAGGAAACATAATAAAGTAAGTGGGAAAGGGTTTTATAGAGAGCTGACCTGTTATAGTAGGTGAGAGTGGCTCTTGACTGTGCCCGAAGGACAGGATTACAGGCCTGTTCACTTCTCAGAGCTGCCAGCACCGATTCTACATCCACTGTGGGAGCAGACACAACATGAAACTAATGCTACTAGTCTTGCACCTACAGACCATTTCTAACATTTTTTAGAGAGAGAATCAGAGAAATCTGTGTAGTACGAAACTTAACGTATTTGCTTCATGGCATATTGTGCATGATTGATGTTTGTATATAGTAGCTGGCAACTTAGCCAGCAACATTAGAAAAGGTAAGTATAATTATTATGCACTCAACATGAGCTTACTGTCAGTCAGTTCTGTGCTCTGCCTCCTGTTTCTGATACCCGGGATTCCATTCAGATCACCTGCACACAGAGATCGTAACACAAACAAAGCAGCAGTGTAGGATTTATACTTAAACATTTCAGCAGTTCTGCGTATTAGAGTTTTCATAGCTACTTAAACATGCAGATGCCTGTGCTCAATCGGTTGAATCATTACTCATGTACTTACGTACACCACTGAACGAAAGGTTACCAATTGTCTAGGCATAACTGATCGATATTGGTGGCACATAATAATACATACATAGTCCAGTGAAAGCCCAAGCACACACTGATAGATTCTTTCGGGCAGTTTCATCGTGTTAAAAATGTGATATGAACCCACCTGGCTCTTGGTCGGGATCAAAGGGATTCCGATCGTCTGACTCTGGGACTGAATCAAGGAGAGTTGTCGTCATTGCCACTAGTTCCTGCTGCTCTTCCTCGTTTGGAAGAAGTCCCTAGGGCATTCAATCAATTGGGGTGTATTGATGGGGCACAAATATTCACTACAGAAGACTGTGAGGTTACACATGCAAAACGACACAGAATACGCCCGACCATGCAGGGTGTCCTGCTATAGGCTACGATGCACCATCACCATGTAGTTTTATACACTCACTGTGTTACGTTTTTTGCATGAGGGTTCTAAGGGCTAATTAGACTGTGTCGGAATACAGTGGAACCTTAGAACAAGGGACACTATGGGGCCAACAATTTGTCCCTTGTAGAGAGGTCGTCCCTATCTCGGAGGTCAAATAATACACTAAAGTATTAGGATGGGGTTGAAACAAGTGTCCTTTGAAAAGAGGTCATCTCTATCTCGGAGGGTCCCTTATCGTATGTTCAACTGTATATACATGAGGGAAGACACTCAAAATATAGCAACACAGGCCTGACAGTGTCATATATGATAACGGTGGGAGTTAAAAGGGGGGAGATAGGACAGGTAACAAGAATTTCCCTCCAGAATGGTATTAGTGCAGCAGTTGCTTATGTACACATTCCTGGCAAGCCACATCATGGCAAGCCACATCCTGGCTATATATTACACACAAAAGTGAGTGGCTGTCATCTTACCCGTGGGTCAATGACAAACAACTGGTAGTAAGCGTGTCGTCCAAGGATATTCATGGGACCTATTGAAAGGAAACCACACACAACGTATCATTTCCCATGGTTCATACATTGACTCTACCAAGTATATACAATAACATACACACATTAACCACAGGACGGTAGGACACAAAAATTTTATATCCCGTAGTAAGTAAACGCAGTAAAAATTGAGGGGCCCTGAAATTACGCCTAATAAAACTGAACAAAATGCTGGATCAGAAAGCAAGGATCTAATGCACAATTGACTGTTAAATGTAAATGTTGACAATAGGTTTCCCCACAAAAATTACCTGCTGTAGTAAAGTTTCCAATGAACTCTCCTTTATAGTTGTTAATCCTGCCCATTGGGTCAAATGTCTGAAGAACTAGAACACCTTTAAACCTGTAACGATACAGAACAGCATAAAAATATTCAAAGGAAGGCTATGTTTACACATACATTTACGTGAACCAGTAAACAGAGCATTATTGCTTAGGAAACAGGCCACCACAGAACCAGTGGCGGATCCAGGGGGGTTCCTTGGGTTCCGCGGAACCCCCTTAATATCGTTTTGCGCGCATGCGTCGCCGGCCTCGTGCGTGCACATGAGCGCAGTTGAAATGTTCTGGACAGCGGGAACCCCCACTTTCAAATCCTAGATCATCCACTGAGAACATAACTATTATACTCTGAAGGTGCAGCTGCATAAATACGTAACTACAGTATGCCTCAAAAAGTGATTGTTTTGACTTAAGATTTGGGCAGTAAAGACTATCAGACTTTCTAGCTGTGCTACTAATTAAAGCCCCAATAAGCAAGCCTTGCTAACTTGTGGCATACGTAGCTACCCACCGATTCTAATGAAAAGCACTAAAGTGCAAACCCTCGACGAACTGTGCATGCGCGTTACTGCCAATTGATGGGCTGGGCCTATTAATTATACGTTTACTCGTGATCTCTCGCTAGTAGCTCGCAGAGAGTGCTAGCTACAGTAGTAGATAGTATGCGGGAGTCGATACACGCCCTTCGTTGTGGCGTCTTGTGCCTCCAAGGTACACAGAGCAAGCCAAGGTAAGCCAGTGCTAATTAGCATATTGGCTTGTTCACTTGGTTTTCATGCCAAAACTTCTTAACGTAGCACTTTTACGAAAATAGCCTATTTGGAAAAAAAGCCAGTGTAGCGCTGAACCCGCTGGTGTCGCTATTTTACCTGTTTGTTGTGCGTGGTGGCAGAAATCGTGGTAACAGACAGACAGACAGACAGACAGACAGACAGAACGACTACTGTAACCCTCGCTGCGCATGCGCGCGCCGAGGGTTAACATACATGCATTTTTTTGTGAATGCAATTGACAAAATATGTGGTATATACTCAAGCAACAAACAACTAGTGAAACACACTTACTCTCTCAAGGGCCTTCTGTTGCTTTCGGGGCTAAAGATGAGGATTGTGTTGTCAGTATAGACGACCGTTTGGTTGAAGAGGATGTTCAGTGAACTCAACTTCCCTCTCCCCTGCCTTCTGACCCTGTTCCACTGGTGGTGCTATGGGCGGAGTTTAAAAGAGATACTTAATGATCTCTTTCTAAGTGTAGGAACTCACAACCCTCTACACAAGGAGTAGCTACGCATGAGTGTAAAACCCTGGCCTGTACACGTGCAAACACAAACAGACAATACTATATGAACTCTATAGCGTTGTTTTGTAGCTCAAGGTGCGATGGTTGTCTTCCATCATTGGCTGTTTTCCACTACAGTATATAGCTACACTTCCTGCTTGCCATTCTGTGTGACTACTGGCACTTCGGATGTGTGCAAAAGCCATTTGTGGTAAGTCCACATATTATTACATTTGCTAAGCCTTTCATGACATAACTATACGAAAATTCGCAAATGCCTGTGCAAACCCATTCCTTGCTTTATAAGCAAAAAAACATACAATGTTGACATTAGAAGTGGAACAGACAGACTTTCAGACACAAAAACAAACTGCAGTAAACCCCTTTGATGCATATGCATACAGAGAATAGACCTGGAGTGGTTGTTAGTAGCTACCATAATTGCCATCAAGGCAAAAAAAATTATACTAACGAAATCAGCGAGGTCTCTGGGCATAACGAGATGCTCCGGGTATCCAGGGAAGAGATCTGCATACCTCGTGGCCACACCCTCATCTTCCTCTGTGGAATACAACAGAACATCGACAATAACAATACAGCTGCATGTACAGGAGAAAGCATTATGGATGTTTGAGTCTATGCCCTCAAAAATTGCCCATTTTCACACACTCAAAAAAACAGCCCGCAACCTCTAAACCAGAACAGGCAAACACCTTTAATGTATTCTTCTAGAAGGTAAACTTAGCTTTAAAAAGTCTTCTGACCAAATGCCTGGTTTACACATACCCACCCAGCCACATATGTATGTAGTATAAAAAAATCATACCTGCTGATCTCTTTGTCATAGGTTGGGGTGTAGGAGTACTGACAGGAGAGAGGGTGGATGGGACACTGGGTAGTGCCGTAGTGGTGGGCGTGGGAGCACTGACATCACACACACCGGTAAAAAACTCAGAGGTATTGAAGCAACCTGCATGGTGAGCACTCTATAGTTGACGCTCCTAGGACACTCTTTCAAAATCCCAGAACCAGAACATGTGATAGAGTGTTCAGCCCAGTCCAACCAACGTTCGCTATTTCTACATTGGATATCTCTTAACAAGGCAACCACTGCTACACTCTTACAAAGGCCACAAATAAAAAAATATATAAAAGCACTAAAGTGCAAGCCCTCGGTGAACTGTGCATGCGCGGTTCACCTAATATTGATGGACTGGACTAGTAAGAGTTTACGCGTGGTAGCTCGCGGAGAGTCTGACACGGACTAGCTACAGTAGTAGATAGCATGCGGGAGTCGATACACGCCCTTCGTTGTGACTTCTTGTGCCTTCAAGCTACACAGAGCTAGCGGACCTGGTCGATGCTAATTAGCATATTGGCTTGTTCACTTGGTTTTCACGCCATAACTTTAGAACGCAGTAGTTTTATGAAAATCGCCTTTATTAAAATGAAGCCAGTGTAGCACTGAACCCGTTAATATCGCTCTTTCCGATTTCTTGCGCGTGATGGCCGAAACGTGGTAACAGACAGACAGACACACTTACGAACCAAGTATTGTAACCCATGCACGCCGAGGGTTAATCAAAACACACAGAGCCTCACCCTCCAGGTTCCTCTCAAGGGGCTGGAAGCAGATGGTGTACATTTGGAAGCCTTCTCCTTGGATCTCCTCACTGGTCCTGAACACAGTGGTGTAGTCACCAAACTCCAGCTCTATGACCGCGTCCATACTGGGAGTGGTCCCACAGTTGTCTGTCGTACCAAACTCTCCGCGGACTATCTGCAAATAGTCCTGGCACCTACGTATGTATGTACACAATTACATTACCCATGATACTCCAGCTGTACACAACGTTTTACGTACAACATAATCTAAATCACTGCAATTTTCATTTTGCTCGAAAGCATTTGGTTTCTAGTGTCAAGTGTGTCTGCTAATACTTGTTGCATGACATACTTAGTAGCTACGTAACACTAAATAATCACTAGCCCAAAATTAATAATTCAGGAAGAAATGCTGTTTACAGCTTCGTGTCATTGGTGTGCGCCATAGGGGTAGTGTTTAAAGCGAATGCGGCAGTGTAGAAGGGCTAAGTACAGAATGTGTTACCAAAAAAGAAACTTAATTGAATTCTCTCACCGGGCCCTATTGTTCAGTTCTATATTTAGTAACGGTTCTAAGTTTAGCCCTACTGCTAACTCCATTTGGTACATACACATAAAGTCAAGGCTACATTTTATGTGAGAGACCTGAAGTTCCCGCCAGTGTCCCGGCAGTCCTCCACTCCCTGGAGGTTGAGGTGAGTCACATTGAAGAATGCCAGCTCTCCCTCCGAACACCGGACCCTGTACTCTGTTCGCAGCTGATTGTCATACCTGTGAGAATCATACAAGGAAAGTATGAATTATAGATCAAACTGGTGGTTACATTTGATTGTTATACACCATAGAAAATATAGTCATGTGCCTTGTAAACTTAACCCTCGGCTGACACGTCTATCTGTTTGCATGTCTGTTACCGCTATTCTGGCACTACAGGTAAAAAGGCAGCCTATAAGCGAACAATTTCACGCATGTCCAAAAAGTTCAGTTTGTCTCGGACACTGCAAACATTGACAAATCTGTCACTCGTACACACATATGCCTTTCGGTCACACGCTCTCGTAACCATCACACAGTTTCCAGCTAAATTGGCGAGTGTGATCACCGGGATTTTATGTAAATGGTGTTTGGGCCTATAAATTACTTGCGGTTGGTCCTCTAACAGTTAAACTTCGTACACTGGTTTACCATGATAAGAGTTCATCAAAACAGAAATTACAAGGTAAAACAGCCTCAGGCAAAAAAAAAAACACTTCAGTGCCTATAACTTGCTTATGGCGGGTCCTCTGACAATGAAACTTGGTGCACCGCACTGCCGCACTGCACACAGCGTAATGTTCTACGTGATTCTTGTGTGAAACACGCACGAAAAGTTGAACTGCTCACTTCGGTTGCCAAAACTATTCTAGATATAGTTACTGCGTTGGGCTTATAGGATCCCATGTATAGCTATACACAACCGGTTGCAGGCTTATAGAACCAAAAAAAGAACGCTTGCTACTATCATCTGAAGCTATCGTCTCATTCTGCTTTTGTTTCGACATGGGCATTACGTATGTGTGAAAAAACCATGCATAGAGTAAAGGGAGAGTATTGGAGGTGTATGTGTGTGAGTGAAATGTTTAAGCAATTAAAGCAGGGGCCAGGTAGTAGGTGGGACTGACGGTACTCCGAGGATGAAACCAGGAGAGTAGAGGATCCTCAACTCGTCGGTGCCCAGATTGGAGATGGTCCTGATGTCCTGCTCTCTGGCCCTCACGTTGCACTCCAGGTAGCCCGACGAACTCTGCCTCAGTCGGGTGTGGTGGACACTGTACTGACTACACGTGTACAGAGAGAGAGGTACAGAGAGAGAGAGAGAGAGAGAGAGAGAAAGCAATGACACTCAAACAGTACCATATCATCATAGCGGAAACTTTGAATACAGTTTTATACTCTTCGGTTATGACAATTATTCATATAAGCTTGTTCACTGGTTCATCACTTGAATGTAGTAATTATGGGGAAATTCAAACATAAGCCGCTGGTATCTCTCATAAGCCGCCACGTGGCCTGTAGGTAGGGCGAGGATAGTCATAGACAGACATACTCAAGGTATATACAGTATACTGTGTGCACACAATGAAATTCCCTCCCACCCTGCTGTGGACTCCAGTACATATTATGCACAATGAGTCGTGGGTAATCATGTGCTCGTATCATGTTCAATAAACTTCATAGCTACAGATATTTGCTGGTGTCCTTACTTTGTGTCAGCTCTCATCAGAGCATTGTTCTGATATTTGCAGATCAGGTAGTCCTCCCTACTGAGAAGACATCTCGGAGTCTGCTGGAGACTTGGGGCAAGGCTGGGGGGGAGAGGGAGAGGGAGAGGGAGAGGGAGAGGGAGAGGGAGAGGGGAAAGAGGAGTTGGAGGATCGAGGGAGGAAGACATTGCCACTTTGACGAAGTTTTGAGTCACGAAATTGGTTGTTGGTTACCCAATGCCATCAGGGTTTTAGCCAGGGAGCAATTAAAGGGGGGGGTGGGGTCGACTGACCACTTGCCACGACATTCACTTCCAAAAGACTACTACACACATTTGCCTAAGTATATACACTTCTGTAAAGCAGGGAGAAAGGAGGGGGAAAGAAAAAAAGGAGGGGGGAATAAAAAGGGGAGGGTAAACCCCCCTGCTTCCCTGCTTTAGTTAAAACCTTGGCCATAAGAACAGGTTATGAACATGGGTTACACGCTAAGAACAATGGAAAATGCTGACCAGCAGATTTCGTGACTCAAAACATGGGACTCAACGAAGAAAACAAGATTTGAAACATTTATCCTCATGTAGCATGTGTATATCACACTAGGTAAAGCAAGTGAATTGTAAAGAAAGTGAAGAGAAAGAATGCCCAACAGGGTTCGCCAACTATAATCCCTCACCTCCTCATTTCAAACGTACATGCATGACATGTCTACGTAGCTGGAGTATATATACTCACCACAGGAAGAATAGAAAGGCTGTTATGATGAAGTTGTCCATGATGTCAAAACACTAAGAGAAGAGCATTAGTAGTCATACAACAGGAAAAAATAATCGTAAAAAGTAGATCTAAGCCTCGATAAAAAAACTTAGCATAATATTAACACCCCGATGTACAGTACAACTATTTTAGAATGCAAGAGTTTGCATGCGCAGCAATGCATATGTAAGTAAAACCTCTCTGACTACCACTACAACTGCAGCTTTCTCCCAAATGAGGCAAACAAGTTCTCTCCCACTCACTAGGCTGTATATACATGCATCCTCATTGCAGTGAGCTGTGTTTGAAACCTAACTGTGGACATGCTCCCCACCAGCACGCAGCAAACAACACCAGATGGTTGGCTCTGCTTCTACCGCAAATACTCCAGGCAGAAGACCTACGCCATGCACCGCCGCTTCTGATGTGGTCTGAAACCACGTGGGAATCTCCGCATGTTGTCTGTAGTAAAGCCCAGCCAGCCCAACATTGCACTTCTCTGACGCTGAGATTCTGGCTCTTGCCTCCAGTGCAACACACATTCAACACACGATAAACAATAATTATCTTCTTGCAAAGCATTCGGCCTAAATCTGCCGTTTGCACTTATCTATACACAGGTCTAGGACACTAGTTAGCTAGCTTTGATGAAAAGCCGGCGTGCAACGAAGGCGAGAGCTGAGGTAACCCAAATCACACGCACATTTCTAACTGAATCACCTTACTAGCAGTACCTACATAACACATTTTTATGAGCAGAGAAAATAGCTACTTACTCAGTCCCTCTGGCAGTCCAGTCAGGTTCGATCGATTCTGGCTCCGGCCCACCTCCAATGGAGCATGCGCACACACCACCAGCGGTAGATATCACGCATGCGCATACTAAATTTGTGAAACGCCAGTCTGTGGATGATGCACCGACATCCTACTCTACCTCCTTCCATTGATGGATTAGTCTAACTTTCTTTTGCTTTGTTTGTTTTTGTTGTGTTGATGTTGTTTCTTGTTTGAAAAAAGGAATCTCTGTCGCGCTGATCAACGTTGTGCGGTGCCTCAATACCCTAAGAGTTTCATATCTTGACTCTCTACCATTGTCTACCTATAGGCCTACAACTGTTATTACTTACCCAAAAACTGTTTCTTGGCACCAAAGTAACTTTGCTGTATGATTGTGGCTCCATATAATATATCTAGTAGTGAAAACTGACAGCAATTGGAGGGGGACAATCAGACAAAGCCACAAACACTCTTCTCAGCCTCCCACGGGACAGACCAGGCATCTTCCAACAGAAGCGGATTAACCAATGACTTACTGTCATAATCACCCCAACGGTCACTGGCTTTAATATAATACCACTTGACACCGCATCACTGATTGTGATAGTGATAGCCTAGCATGAGGATGGGGTCCACACAAGGAGAAGGCACCGGTAGAAGTGATGGACATTTTCAAACACTACAATGGTCAACAACAGTAACCAGTCTACCTCATCCTCTCTGTAGGGACAAACTCTATATTGGTGGTTGATATAGCATAGTACTGGAGTGGGGATGCAAAAGCTAGCGGTAACGTGTGAGGTGCATGAAAGACCTCCTCCAGTCACAGTCACTAGCCACCAGGTCTCTGCAGTAGTCCTCGACAGTGTTGAAAGAAATTGCTCCACTTCCAGTAACTCTGTCTTCCCTCTACAGTGATGCAATATGCAGGGGCGGATTCAGGGGGGTGCTGCCCCTTTTATAGTACGATCTGGGGTGCTCTGCTGCAGAGCATCGCAAGTACTGTCTGCTTGTGTGTGTTGTGTGATTGTGAAGAAACATAAGGAAGGGAAATAAGGAGAAAGAACGTAAGAGAGTAACAGGGTTGGGAGGGCTTTTGTCCACATTACCTGGGCGGCAACCCAGTGTCTATGCAATCCTAGCCTTGAGGTGCCGCCACATAGCAACCGCGCATGCGTTCATGAGTTGTAACATGTAGCTTTTGCCCGGTCATCAGGGAAGTACTATTTCCGTCATTGTATGACTATGGGTTTCGGTCCCTTTAACTTTCCTGGAATAGGCGGGACCACTCCCCAGCAAGGGGTCCGGCATAACATGTATACTTACGCTGGTGTCTATGTTTTATACTGCATATATGTATACTTATACTAGTGTCTATGTTTTATACTTGCTCACCTTTTCTTCTCTTGATCTTCTCTCCGTCTTGTAACTAAGCAGCTTACTATATAGTGCAGCTAGTTATGAATATTACTAAGTAGTGGTTTTGGCACAGGATGTGGATACTATATATTGTGACAGCTGATTGTTGAAATAATTATACATAATTATTATACTGTGTGTGTGTGTGATCTGGGCTTCATCTCTACTTTTCATCTCTGACCTCTCAACACTTGCTGCACATCGAAAATACTTTTTCATGATATTATTTCGATGAATCATACACAAAATAGCAAATAAGCTAGTACATTGTGCATGACTGTATACTGAAAATTTATTATTCAACCACTCTCTCAAAGAAGACTTGAAGTCGCAGGTCGCGGTAAGTCCAGTGCGATTATGCATATTGGCTCTTTCGCTTGTTTTCACAGCATAGCTTATCTCTCGAACGCAGTTGTTTCAGACAAATCGCCCTTTTGGCTCGCGCGTAGGTCTGAGGCCGCTGGTAGGCCGCCTCGTATAATATGCCTGTATAGTGCAAGAAAAAGCGTCGACACACAGACACACAGACACACAGACAGACGAACTATATACTGTAACCCTCGCTGCGCATTCGCGCCGAGGGTTAAGTATAGCTCTTAGTGGGACAGCAGCACTGCAAGACTGCTAGAAATCAGTGGCGGTTCACTGAAACATCATAAGTGCAGCACCGTATGTCGCCGAGATTTTGCACGCTGCATACACTGAGGACGAGCGAAAGGAAGTAGAACTGTGGAAGAACGAGTAAGTGATCTAGTTAGAGATGGATTTTTGACAGTCAGAGAGTCCTTACTTTGGCGGAAACGGCAGCTTTTGCGCATGGTTCAAATGTGGGACGCGCGTGCGCCGGTAGAGCACGATTTACGACAACACTATAATTATAGTGCCCCCTCGAGGCTTGCGTGAGCGTACCCTCTGCTAAGCCTTATTTGCGAAATGGACAGAACGTCGGTAGCCGAAAAGTATGACCGCATGCAGCGCCAGTGTCAAGGTGGACATGGAATGTTTCTCATTGATAAGCTCTGCGTAGAAGGGGGAATTTGCGTCCTCGATCCTGGCTGTGGGTCTGGATTCCTTACCGCCACCCTTGCAGAGAGGGTTGGAGCAGAAGGAAAAGTTGTTGGAGTTGATCCTAACGAAGAAGGACTCGATGTTGCACGATTCAAGTACGGTGGGATAAGTAACCTCACCTTTTTCAATGGAAGCGGTGAAAGGTTTCCCACCGGCCCTTACGACGTAGTATTTTCCATCTTTGTTTTGCAGTGGATTGAAGACAAAGCATTGGTTTTTCAAAGAGTTTATGACAATTTGAAAATCGGTGGAAAATTTGCATTGCAATGTCCCGATGGACCTGCTCCCAGCATCTGGGAAATCCTGAGCCCTTCAGTTTGCCACTCATTGCACTTCTGTTCCAGTCACCAATATGAAGGCTTGGCAACACAACACGGCTTTGAAATAGAGCAAAAATCAGTTGAGACTGTTAGGCTCGATTTTGAGAATGTGGATAAATACATTGAGTGGAGTCTTGCCACAATGAACATCAACAACGATCAGATCAATCCTAATACAATTATTGAGGCAAGGAAAAAGTTTAGTGCTAAACCTTTTGCATCCTTCAATACAATTTTGTACATTTTAAGGCGTACCGGTTGACAAGCAGTTCGTAGCTGCTCTCAAACTATTACTAAGCACCTATATTATAGCTATTATTCTTATGTAATTATGTAACATTTTTTGATCCAGATGCTAATGTAGTAGAATTAACTGATACGGACAATTAACTCTGTTGTAACTCTATGCCACTGACAGTAAGCTCCCACACACATAGAACAATTTTTGGATGCCTGGCTGAGCGCAAGTGATTAGTGGTTGAATACTTGTACTAAGTTTATACTACTAAGCTAAAGGAAGCTAGCTACATAAGCTAAGAAAGTATTGTTTCATGTATATAACTGCTCAGAAGCTTGCTATTGTTTGGAAGTACAATTCTTAATGCTTGTGTTGCCCCCTCCATTTGCGTTCTGCAAGAGGTTGTTCTGCACGTTCCTGTTCACTCCCTATGCCATGCCTTATTTTAGCAGGGTATTCTTCACTTCGGTCTTGATTATTTGCACTTTAGTTCAATAATTCTTTACGTTCAACATTGGTCATATTGAACGCGTACTGAAATGCGTGGCTCATTTGATCCGCCCACGCAAGTCTAAATTAATTATCATAAACAAAAGATGACACGTAGCTAGTATACCAAAACAGAACGGTTTTCAAAAGCTCACCGTTACAAAAGTATATTGGAACAGGAACAAGGCACTGCACATGCGATATTAATTGTATGACATTGGGGGCGTATTTTTACTATGGGACATTATCCTCGACCAGTATATAGGATAGGTATGTTGATGCCCATCATCGACCATAATAATTATCATCATTTTGCTGTGTCTATGCGTCGTAAATTAACTCGCAGTAATTGTGTAAACAAATATCACCTCATGAAGAAAATTATGTGAAACTTAATGAACCTCGAACTCACATTTGCTTGTCTGGTACTTATAATTAGTTAACCGCCTGCTGAGTGAGAGTATATACTGCGTGACTGTTTGTCCCGGGGAGAGGGTTGAATAACACTAACTTGGGCCCCTGTGTCCATAAGGAAACGCGTAGAGGTGCAGCTATCGGTTACAAAAAAAGGCGGCTTGGAGTTAAGCCAGTGACGTCGGCCGCGTGTACGTACTGTCTCTGTCGTTTCCCGAGTATGAACAGGGTGGTGTGCGCTTGCGAGCTCTATCGCCAAAAAGGGTGTGGTATATTATACCAACACATTCCAGTGGACGCAGTACGTGGTGGTGGGGAATGCATTCTTGTCGGATGGCGAGGCGAGGGTGAACATTGTCTTGCTCATGTAGTTGATGTAGCGAGAGTAGCGATCGTTTCTCTTAGCTTGGCAACTTCGGTGGGTGGTGCAACAGTGATGATGCGATTAGCCAGTTAGGCGAGTTCCTCAAGAGTCTTCCGTCTCCTGATGACTCCAGAACCATACGCACATTAACGGGGAGTCGCTGGAGGAACATTTCGCGCGGGAGTATATATGCCATCTGTACCAGCTGCATCTTCTCCTAACAACCTGCTGCAGCGGCGAAGTAGCTGGGAAGGTCTCAGGTCGCCTAACTCTGTGGACTGGAACAGTTGCCGCAGTCTATGCTCTGCGGGGAGGACAGTGCGGGCGATTACTTGACTCTTCAGCGTGTCATACAGCGAGGCGGCGGGAACGCTGAGAATGAGATCCGTGGCGAACACAGTTGAGTGTACTTAGCTATCACAGATATTTTGTGTTGTAGTGGATGGTGTGACGAAAAATCGAGGTATTATCCGTGTGAGTGGGTATCCTGTATACGAATGTACCAATGCTACCATCTTTATTGTGGTGTAAGAGGACATCAAGGTTGGTAGGATACCATCTGACTCCACCTCTAATGTGATATGGATGTTTGGGTTGGTACTATTATATTTAGGTGATCATGGAAACTATGGACTGTGTCAGGGTGTATTTTTGTGAGGGCATCGTCCACATACCTCTTCCAAACTCGTCAAAGTAGAAAGTGCTTGTTGTTCAATTTCTGTGTCAGGGTGTATTGCTTTTAGGGCATCGTCCAAATACCTCTTCCAAACTCGTCAAAGTAGAAAGTGCTTGTTGTTCAATTTCTGTGTCAGGGGGTATGGCTGCCGGACCCTTCCAAGGGAAGTACATCCTCGTGACGGTTGACGCGCATTCAAAATGGATCGAAGCAGTATGTACGCCTACCACTTCATCGAACGCCGTAATCGAGGAGCTTCGTACGCTCTTCACGAAATTCGGACTACCTGACTCCATCATTTCCGATAATGGTTTGTGCTTTGTCAGCCACGAATCAAGTCATTTCTAAAAAGTAATGGAATCAATCACACAACCTCAGCACCATATCACCCGGCCACGAACCAGTCACTCCAACTCCACAGACTATTCCGGAAGGTCAGCCTCCACAGCCATCTGCACCACCAGAGACTAGTTTGCCTACGAGTTTGCCAACGTCCATGAACGCATGTGAACAGAACGACTCGAACGAATCAAACGAACATCGTTACCCTCGCCGAGATCGTAAACAGCGCCAACACTTCGAACCAGGCAGCTGACTGTAGACTGTGAGAACTCAATGATGTATGCATTCAATTGTGTTTGATGTTTGATCATGTTTTTATCTGTTTGAATGTATTTCATGTTGTTTGCAACCTTGCATGTATAATGATCATGTATGTTAGGAATGTTTGGTATGTGTATGTTTTATTTTTCGTTTTTATATCATTACTTAGGAATTATAATAGCACGACTAGTCGTTAATGTACGTCATCAGTCACTTCCGTATCCGTTTGACTCTATATAAGTTGACATCCCATGCATCGTAGTGTTCTGCATTCTGTGTACCAATAAGTCGTTGAGCTAGCTGCGCAAGATGACAGCTATATATCCCTTTTCATAATTTACGCCATCCCTATATACATCCCCCTTCATTTTGAAGAAATGATTTTTCCACTTGTTCCACTTATTTTTTAGCACATGCTCAGCCCCACCGTTTTCGCAGTGCAGATCGGCGCTGCATGCATTAGGATTCATGCAAGTGTGGGTGGAGATTTATGCACTGCAGAATATATGCAGAGATCCTGATTGCACACACACTCGCAGTCCATTGTGGGGGCAGGGGTGATGGCCATGACGTAGTTTGCAATTTTGCGCGATTCTTGTGCTAGAGACTCGCGGGCGCATGCGCAAGTACAAAATTATCCCAACATTGATTATATATACAATATGCTTTCTTGTGAAATTTGAAAGAACGTTTTTTCTTTAGGAGAGGTCTATATATCCAGCTGAAGTCAAAGGTGGAAGCCAAATCAGGGGTATATAGCTAGCAGTAGAAGCCAGAAGTTTGTTGGGTTCAGGGTCCAGATTGACTAGTGCAGTTCCAGTCCAACCCCTTTAAACATATAGATAGTATGCACCATCAAGTGAAACACAAAGCATAATACAGAGGAGTAGACAGACAAGGGAAGGAGTAGCTATGCTTACAATAGGAGTTGGTAGTGCAACTAAGGCTAGGTCAGAAGTGGGATAAGGGTGAAGGAATGTACAAGTCAGCAGTGGTGATAAGGGGCAGGAAAAACACCCCACCTGCCAAGCAACTCCCAGATAATCTTACAATGGCAGGGTATCCTTCCCACAACAGGTCACTCTGCCTGCATTACCTCCATAGTGCAGCCATAATCAGCAATATTTTTCTTAAATTGGGCTAACAGCCGCCTTTTTCCTACCAGGGCCAGAATGATAGGAGGCCCTAGGCACTGTCTTTAAATTACCAGGGTCTGACTGACAAAGGGACCTCTAGCCTTTATTTGCTCGGAATTCTGCACATAATATCTACTGCCCTCCTACTTTTCAAGCGATGAGGCAAAAACCTGAACTTATCTCAAAGGATGGAGAAGCCCGGTTGGCAGTGACAACAGCAGAGCTGTGGTAGAGCGGATTGTAGGGCCTTGCGATTGAAGGAACAGGGTGGGGTTCTTGTTATCAGCCACGACTGTCAGCAGAGAACCACCAGGCAGAGGGGATGCAAAAGGTTGAACTGAAGGAGAGTCGTCAGGCACCCCTATTAAAATAGGCAATGAAGGAATGCAGACAACTTGCAGGGGTTACCTTGAAACATAGTTAACTGTGGCCTCAACTCCATAAACCCAAGCTGCAGCTAGTAGAGTATATTATACAGACCTAGGAGTTGATTATTTTTCGTAATCACAATAGCAACACTTATACTTTTGACCGTGGCGACTCCAGTACAATAGTAGCAGCAGTGCGGACAAGACAGACACGGAGTGTCACGTGGGGGTCTCCTCGTCGAGCTAGGTCGTGGAAAAAATTCGTCGCGTGGAACCTCGAAAGAAAATTCGCAATGAGCTGGATTGCAGCTAGCTAAAGTACACACAATAGTAGCTCCTTACCACAAGACGGATAGCTAGGGCCAAATTCTGGAGCAAAGCGGTGGAAAACCCAGGCGAGCGAAAAAAACCAGCGGACAAACGGAGCGCACGGCGGGGACCACGCGCCGCGGCGCAGCTACCAACAGTGGGGTGTGGGGTTTCGAGAACGGCGTGAAAAATTAGTCTGGCGTAGCCCGCCTATTTCAGGTCATCAACGACCCGTATATACCTCTGGAATGCGGTGGTTACACAACACTTTCCACGTGATTAGTGGGTGGGGTCGGGGAACTCCGTTACCAGCGGTACACTACTAACCCTGGTCTTTGACGATGGCTGGAACTCTCTCAAGCATTTGCCGCATTCGCGAAAGGCTCCTTTCAACAAGTAAACTATGACGTAACCGCGCATACTGATTCATTCCACGCCGTTCTGCAATCTGATTGGACTGCAACCGGAGGAGGTTGCGCACAATCGACATTCCTAAGCTGTCGGCGCATTGCGGTTATAATGTAATCAAGTATCGTAGCTGCGAAAGGAAGTGGCTCTTGCTGGTGTTCAGGCGGGCCAAGACCTTGCTATCTCTCGATTGTTTATATGTCCAAGTGTGTGCCACGGAAAACACTCGTAGCTTGCAAACGCCAGTGTGCCGTTCTGCAGAAAGTACTGACTCAGCGGGTTGACTGGGTTGCGTGGGCGAACATATATGCATCTCTAAGGCGCACGTGATGCAAGCGATGACGCGTGCACAACCTCCTCTGGACTGCAGCTATAGTTGCAGAGGGTATAGTCTCGTGCCCAGACCCCGCCCTCAAGTGAGGAAAAGGGTCTGGTGGTTGTGCTGACTCGACAGTCTTACTTTGAAGACACCGAATCAGATTGCAGTATTTGCTACGAGCGTGAAATATCACATGGTGTTGTGTAATAGATCGTAACGCAGCTCCGTGGATTCCGCGTGTCCACGAACGAAAACGGGATTTTCTGCGCATGCACTCGACAACGATGAGTCAGCATAACCAAGAAACCGCACAATAGTCACAGACCCCTTTTCCTCACTTGAGGGCGGGGTCTGGGCACGAGACTAGACTACAGAGGGTTAATTACCGGTCGTTGATGCTAACGTCACCTGACTATTTCTTCTGCGCGCAGGCAGGATACGCCAAACTGAAAAATGGCGTGTCTGTTGTAGTGCCCGCCAGGAATCTGTCTTGGCGACAGGCGACAATAAAACAAAGATCGCTATACGACGATGCACACCTACGTCCAGCATCGCGGGACAAGTTTAGTGAGAAATTCAGCGCATGAACTGTTTCCAGTAAGGAAAAAGCGGGTGTAAAGAAGAAGATGAATATTGAAATCGCGTATGAGGGGATTCTCGTGTCCAGAATTGAAGGGCCGTATGAAACTTTTGAGCATAATGTATAGGTAGATATGGACCCGTGGGTGATTATTGGTGTGTTTTGAGATTAGCAACGATTGCGTGGGCGTATGTTTCAGATATTTTTTCAATGGCACAGCAAAAACGATGGTGATTTATGGGTATATTTCTCGGATTTTTCCTACATTGTTTTCCAAACTCATTAGCATATTCATATTACTCCTCCATACATTCTCTATGGGAGAGAAAACCCTTGCCCGACTCACCCAGGAGCGAACGGTCCTTCTCCTTTATGCGCAATGGTGTTCTTTCTGCCTCCTGCGGCACGCGCAGGCGTATTAGAGCCATCCCGAAAAATAGGCGTGGCCAAGTTTTGAGCATTACGTTTTCACGTTGACCTTTGCCACCCGGTCACGCCCGTTTTTTCCATAGCGCAAAATTAGCTTCCCGCGTACCGAAGCAGGCAACTGCGCATAATTCTGCTTTCCTACTCTGTGCAGTAGCTATACACTAGTCACTCCAAAATGTTGGCATGAACTGATGTAAGTGTAACACTCCTCGACATATGTTTTTGTCTGGATGGTATTTCCCTCCTTGATGGAGTGACTGAGCATTACGTTTTCACGTTGACATTTGCCACCCGGTCACGCCCGTTTTTTCTATAGCGCAAAATTAGCTTCCCGCGTTCCGAAGGTCTTCTCCCGCGCGCGGAATGAGAAGGCATGGCACCGTGAGGCTACATTAGCCTTGCCATCCGGTCCGCGGCAGTGTCGATCGTAGTTTAGTAAAAGAATGTCCGACACGGTTGACCTTTGTCAACTAACCGAGGGAGTTCTCATCCCCTGCATGAGTCCGGAGACCTGGCAAGAACTGAAGGTCTATCCACTGCTACCTGACGATGTTATTCTCTCCAGTTACCCGAGATCCGGCACGACATGGATGCAGCATATACTGAGACTTCTGCGCAACGGAGGGAAAGACGACGGGGTAAACTTGGACGACGCTGTTCCGTGGCTGGAAGCTCTCAAGGCGGCACACGGCAAAAGTATTGAAATTGAACCCAAATGAGGCAGACATACTGCCATCTCCGAGAACGCTGAAAGTGCACCTACCCTACCAGCTTACTCCAGGAGGGCTGCCTCACACGACCAACATCAAGTATTATTTTATCGCCCGCAATATCGAAATTCCAGAAAGACGCAACACTTCCTTGGGAAGAGTTTTTTTGCTGATTTTCTAGAAGCAAAAGCGATAACCGGCATGTACGGAGGTTGGCTGAGTCACGTTCTAGGATGGTGGGCACACCGAGATGAGCCAAACATATTGTTCCTCAAGTACGAAGACCTCAAGAAAGATCCACATAAGACTGTAAAGGCCATAGGCGATTTCATAGGTGTTGAGCCTCTCACAGAAGAGCTTGTGAAAACCGTTGTGGAAAATTCCTCATTCCAGAGTATGTCAACAAATGCAACAATAAACCACAGAAAGAAAGAAGGAGCAGAAATTTCTATTACATTTCTCAGGAAGGGGATCATTGGTGACTGGAAACACCACTACACTGCTGAACAAAACCACAATTTGAACAGAAGGTTGGAGAAGTTTTGAAAGAAAACAATCTAGAGTTTGACTATGACCAAACAAATTGACATAACTTTTTTCTGCTCTGTAGCTACCACCATAGGAAAGGCAAATTGTGATATTCGCGTGATATGCAATTGTTTTGCTTTTGTTAACCTTTCGTTCAATCTATCCGGGCTATAAGCCCTAGACACAATGTGCAGCGAAAAAGGCATGCATGCATCCCAAAAACTTTGCACCCTGTTGTCCTACTTATTTATAATGTCATAAAATAATTACACAACATGAAGAGGGTAAAGTCACCTTCCGTTTATAGTAGCTACTAAGGTGAGAACTTGTGATATTGTCATGTTGAATGTTTGGCACAGTTTACTGCACAAAGCAGATTTGCTGCACAATTGAGTAAACGATGATGCAAATGACCTTTATAAAGCCAAATAACCTTGCATGACTACTTCACCAAAAGTTTGATGTTGAGCTTTATGCCGAAAAAGCCTGCAAACAAACAGAGAGGTCAGAACCGACAGCCATTGCTTGCATAATGGTCAATGCATGTTTCTGAGAAGGTAGACCCTATTATGTGAAGCATGCGTGTACAGCAATTCTAAGGGGCGTGGCGAAACGAGCGGGGCGCTCCGAGACAAAGGCGGAACGCGCGCGTGTTGTCAATAGTAGGGGAATTTTTCCTGCGCAAAGGTCGTGCGGCTGATAGTCAGGGAATTGTTCAAAACAATAGTTATTGTTTTGAACAATTCCCACTTTTACTAAAAGAACGCTAAAACCCCTGGCGCAAGCAACACGTACGAGTTTTGACACGGATAACACGCCATACCTACACTACCCGTATCAGTGCACTCAAAGCTGGTGGATTTATGTAGCCGCCAGTCGGATGTTACGTAAACATTTTTCTGATGGGCGCACGATAAAAGGAACCTGCAAAGAGGGTTCCCTCACTTTTCGCACGCGCATTCTGTCATGTCTAAAATCTCTGAGGTTATTGCTGAGGTGGACGCCACTTTGGCTAGGCAAGCAGAGGAGCAAAAGCGACTCTGCGAGCTCGACTGCTTTGTGCTGGACAACTCCCTGCGAGAGAGCACTGTCGGGGCGTTGCGGGGACACACGCTGGAAAACAAGTGGAAGATCTACGAGGAAGTAAAGCGATGCGGATTCAAAAACGTTATAGTGGCCGCCTTCTCCCACAATACTCGGGTAGACGACCATTTCGTTCGGCAACTAGCGGAAACTGGCGAGAACATGAGCACATTTTTCGCGTTCTCCGAGGGATGGGGAAGCATTTCGAATGGTGAGCCAGACTTAGTTACTCTACCTGTAGGTCTTGACAAAATGAAGACTCTACAGCTTCAAAACCCGATATTCGAAATTGACCTGGGCGACAGCCGCATCGACTGGAAGAAGTTTACTGTTGAGCGAGTCAATAATCTTCTCCAGGAAAGGATCAAGTGGGTAAAGGAAAATCTAGCAGTTGATGGCAAAGTACTTATCAATTACCGAGATTTTTCCATCGCTATGTTGGATCCTACGACCACGCACCGTATTCTGTCCGTTACCGAGTTTCTCGCACGTCTCCCAGCAGATATGCGCCCGTTCGGACTCATTTTCGAAGAACCGACCGGCAAAAACTTTCCAGCCCAACTAGGCGCGTGGACCGCTGCGGTGCGAAAAGTCATGAACGTCAATGACTGGAGCACGGGAAAACTGTTGGTCCACGTCCACGAGAAGTGGGGTCTGGCGGAGGCCGCACAACTCGCGTGCCTCGGAAACGGTGCGAACGGAGTTTGGGCAGGCTTGTGCGCGGAAGGCGCAGCGCTAGGACACGCGTGCTCGTCCGTGTCGCTGTTGAATCTGATCCGCCTTGGCAACAAAAAAGTCCTCGAGCGTTACAACTGCGCGGAGCTAAGACGAGCCGCCATGAGGGTGACGGAAATAACGAGTGGCAAGCCTCCCCATCCCAAACAACCTGTTTACGGTGAGCGAGCGTTGGACATGGCGTTCGACTTTGGTGGAATTTCCGGTGGGCATGTCGGTAAATCTGACTTCGATTTAGCAACGTTTTTCGGAGAGGAGCCCCCGCAGAGAATCAGCACATTAGCATCTGCCCACATGATTCATGAACGACTGACGAACCTGTTTGGTGACCTCGACATTTTCACTCTTTCCATAGCTGAAGAGATGAAGAAGGTGATGATTGACGACTTAACCCATAACCGCAAAGAAGAATACATGAGCACGATGGGTCTGGCAGTGCTGTTTGATCGAGCAGGTGGCTCTCTGACCGAGTCTATGCGAGACGTGATCGAGGAAGTGGAAGTCGAAGATGCCCACCATCAGCACCTTCTCCGCAAAGTGAGGGAGATGTGGGACACGTGGGATCTGCGGGAATCAGTCGAGCTAATCGGAGACGAATGCCTTGAGTTTGATTCGTTCTACAATGGCTTCATGGCTCCCTACTTTGGTTGCTTTCGATGCGACGATACAAGGAAGGGGCTTATGGCAATAGACATGGACAGCGATGGGCGTGTGGACTGGAGCGAGTTTTCCCTCTACCTCAAGTGGGCTCTCCACCAGTATCCCAACATCAAGGATGTGGACGAACTGCTTTCCGTCACATTTCGCAAGGGAATAATACCTGCCATGCGTGATGAACTGCTAACCAAGTAGCTAACTTGCACACCTGGAATTTTAACACAAGCCAAGAGACAATAATTACGTACATATGAACATTGCTGCATTGCTGAGCATGTTACTATATATGGCTAGGCTATAGTTGATGTAAACCAACAACTTACACTATAACAACAGACAAAAAAGTAACAGATGAGATAGAAGCGATGATGACACATAGGGCTTCTCATGCGGGCATAAGCTTATGTAGGACTTCAGCAACACATGCATGAGATGGTGCACAATGGTAGCAATAAGTATATAGCTAATTTACACCCAGAGATGCTCAACACACGGCGGAGCCCGAGTTTTCTATTGAACGGAGCCACGAGTGCGTCACGTAAACCACAAGCATTACGACATCGTACAAATGGCTTGTATGATGCTTCCGTATGTATGTGGGCAACCCCACCGGCTTTACCTAGTCCGCGCGAGAAAGCGCGCAAGAATGCCCCGGCCCGCCGCCGCCCTCTCTGCATGCAACCACCCCGAAAGCGCTAGCGGGCGCGCGACATCTTCTGGCTCTTCGGATCAGTCGTCTCCAGTGTTGCTGAGTAGCGTTGACGTGACTAGACCCGTAAGTACTTCGTCGTTTCTAGCTGGGAATGTTCTATCTGCCATAGACTATAGTGAACGCTTCACCCTACGTTCATCCTGTATGTTCTATCTTCTATAGAATATTGTACACTGTCATAACTGTGGTTTACACACAATCTGATAAGAAAGGCGTGATAGACCTCGCATTCCAGCTTTCATCCACCCACGCAAGTATCATACAAGTGACCAAAGACTTCATCCAAATCTTCAAAGTGATAACTTGGCAAGCAGAGCAAACTTTGAACCTCTGTATGTCATTCTTGCACAAAACTCATAGTCATGGCCCACAGGACTAAATAAAAAGCAGTGATCACTAAGTACAGTAGTACTTACTATATATTATAGGGATACGACACAGGTTGTCCTGCATTATGCCCATACATTTAAGATTTGTACGTTTCACTTTCAGTTTCAATCTAATCCCACTTCTGACATATCAGTCTGATTTGATCCGTATCATCTGTATTGTCAAAAAAGCATGTACCCAAGAAATCGCATAAATTGCATGATCGGTAATTGCAGTTTTTAGTTTTTGTTGTTGTTGTTGTTCAGTTTAGCCAAGTGTATCTCAAAAACCAGGTAAGATACTGTTTGCACAGAGCTGTATAGCTACTTTTCCTTCAATGCATTCGAATAGATCTATGGGCTACTTTAAGAGTATGGATTTTTGGAGCATTCGCCTTGTGATTATGATCAATAATGTTTCGATAAGATGAGAGTGTAAAAGAAAGAGCATTTTTTGAACCCATTCGTGACCAGTTGGGGAAATACCATTCGTTGTGTGCCATAACAGTTTGAGTTTGGACTTTTTCAAACACCAAAGTTGCAAAAAATGGCTACATTATGCTCCAGAAACTAAAATTTATAATAATGTAAAAAATAGGTTTCTGCATTCTCTAGGTACTAGCATTTTAACCATGGTTTTTATTGCATCAAAAATGACCCTCCACCTTGGTCGCAGAAGAAATGATAACCCAAGCAATTAAGAATACACAATGCGTAAGTAGTAAAGTGCATGTCGGCAAATTAGTGCTTCAATTACCTAATAATATTGTTGGTAGAATCATTTTCCAAACCATTAACTAGAAAGGTTGATACTAGCATTTGCCAAAGCCTCCATTAGCTACAAAGTTCTCCCCATAGGCATACTAATTCAAGAATGTCTCTGATAAAATTCCTTTGACTGTTGCCATAAATGCTGATAATTGAAGTAAAATGCTTGAAGGTGCATAGCATGTGGATACGGGACAACCTCCGCACAGCTATAATTATACTGTCCATTGTCCATTTTTGTGGTGTCAGTGGAACAAATTATATACTAGCACAGAATGAACAGTTGTGCACACGGCACATTGACATGCTATATATAGTTGGAAAAGATAACATCAGAGAATTCCTGAAATTGCTATTGTGAAATAGCGCAAACAACTGCTCTGTTGCTAAAAGCAAAACGATAAAATCTTGACCATACACACTGCTGTTTGGTAACCATCCCACTGCACTGATCACTGCACCAACAATTGCGCATGACACATTCAAACCGCATTGTTTATTGATATGGCAATAGTTAACCCTCGGTGCGCATGCGCAGCGAGGGTTACAGTACTTGGGTCTGTGTGTCTGTGTGTCTGTTACTCTTAATCTCACTTCTCGGGTGTTTGTTCGTCTCACAAAGCATACCACCTACTGAACGGGCAATGAAGGTCAGAAATTTCGAACGGTTTTCTCTGAAAACGCTCCGTTGCAACCTAGAGCGCGAAAAAGCCAATATGCAAATACACAACGGCTTTACTACGGCATGATCGACCCGCGTGCTCTGCGTACCTCGGAGTCACCAGAAGATGCAACGCAGGGCGTGTATCGCCTCTCGCATGCTATCTAGTAGTGTAGTTAGACCGCGTCAGACTCTGCGTGAGCTGGCAAGAGACCACAAGTAACAGCTAAAGCTAAACCCAGCCCATCAATTAGTGGTACGGCGCATGCGTTTACTTACGATTGTGCGTCACAGTTCGCCGAGGGTTTGCACTTCAGTGCTTTTCATTTTACGAGTATTAATTCAGTCGCGATTTCACGATTATTCGCGTCATCATTATTCTTCTTCAGTAAACCCCCTATCCACTAATTGCAGTGCTCTTTTTTTCACAAAACGTCTCCACATTCGCCGGAGGTGTGCACGGACATCAAGCAATCATTCCGCAAGCCATTATGGTAGATCGTTGAGCTCTTCCATGGTAGACACTGAATAACTCCCCACAAAAGATCTACTGAATTGAAGCACATTTCACCATGTTAAAGAAGAATGGTTACCCTAAACAATTCATTCAGAGGCATTCGAAAATTTGTAATAACCAAGCAGCGCGAACCATAGAGAAAGAGAAAAGACCACAGTTGTACTACCTTATGTTAGGGTGTCTCTGAGGCCATGAGACGGATTCTAGCACAAGCACATTTTAGAACCACCTTCTGTACTTGCTATAGCTACACTCAATTGATGAAACCTAAAGATCCGATTGATCCCCAAACAGAATTGGCGTAGTGTATTCAATCCCATGTCAAGACTGCCCTGCAGTGTACGTAGGACAAACTGGTCGCCAACTGTCTACGAGGCGGCAGGAGCACAAGCATGCTGTAAGAAATGCTGATATACATATGTCAGTACTGGCTGAGCACTGTTGAAATGAAAAGCACTAAAGTGCAAACCCTCGGCGAACTGCGCGTGCGCGATACTGCTAATTGATGGGCTGGGCTATTGCCTATTAGTATGCGTTTACTCGTGGTCTCCCGCTAATAGCTCGCAGAGAGTCTGACACGGGCTAGCTACAGTAGTAGATAGCACGCGAGAGTCGGTACACGCCCTTCGTTGTGACTTCTTGTGCCTTCAAGCATTGAGCAAGCGGACCCGGTCGAGGTAAGCCTGTGCTTAAAAGCGCATGCGAATTTTCCGCAGCGATAAAAATGGCCGACTACGCATTAGCCGTACAATGCTGGAAGCGCTCTCGCTCTGCAACGGAGCATTTTCAGAGAAAACCCCACATATTTTCTGACCTTCGTCGCCCGTTGGGTAGATGGTATCGTTTCTGGGACGAACAGACATTCGAGAGGTGAGATGTAGAGTAACACACACAGACAGACAGACAGACAGACAGACAGACCCAATGAAAAGCACCGAAGTGCAAACCCTCGGCGCATTGTGACGCGCACGCGTAAGTAAACGCATGCGCCGTACCACTAATTGATGGGCTGGGTTTAGTTTTAGCTGTTTTAGCTGTTACTCATGGTCTCTTGCCAGCACGCGCAGAGTCTGATGCGGGCTAACTACACTACTAGATGGCATGCGAGAGGCGATACACGCCCTGCGTTGCATAGAGCACGCGGAGCGATTATGCCGTGGTAAGCCGTTGTGTATTTGCATAAGGTAGATGTTGGTATTTTGAGCCACCTAAAGTTTCTTCTTAATTTTTCCTCCAAATACCGGTGAATTAAAGTTCAAATTTATGTTACATGACTATCAAGACATGGCAATTCTAAAAATCAAATCGGTTTCAGAATATATAATCATAGTAGGTAATGCAAAATATTTGTTTTATAACCCTCTAAAAGCAGCAATTATGAGTCAGTGATGGTATTATGAGTCGACTTAAAATGTATTCTTTGATGAAGCAAACAGTTGCTCAGTCGTGTTTCACAATAATTACTTAGATATACAAAAATACAAAAAACCACAAATTAATCATAATTTGACCAAAACATTCATTTAAAACCTCCCCCAAAATATACCATTTTTGAGTCAGTGATGCAATCATTGTGACCTCTTGACTTTTGGCTATTTTGTCGGAAAGTAACCCACAGCACGTGTTAAAATGTGGCGACGATTTGCTGGGCTAACGTCCTTACGGTAGAAGCAGTTACACAATGTTTGGCAGCTTTTTGGAATATTTACCCATAATACCCCCTGACTCATAATACCAACACTTACCTTATTGGCTTTTTCGCGCTCTAGCTCTGCAACGGAGCAGTTTCAGAGAAAACTGCACATATTTTCTGACCTTTATTGCCCGTTAAGTAGGTTGTATCCTTTGTGAGACGAACAAGCACCCGTGAAGTGAGATGTAGAGTAACGGACAGACAGACAGACAGACAGACAGACCCAACTACAGTTCCCTCGCTGCGAATGCGCGCCGAGGGTAACTACTGTAACCGTCGCTGCGCATGTGCGCCAAGGGTTAATGAAAGTGCAAAACCCTCGGCGGCGTGGTACCACGCATGTGGGTCTGGCTATGTGTAGCTAAGTGCTAGTCTAGCAATGTTATTTGTCACAATCAGAGTGTGTGACTTTAGGCCAATGAACATGTTTAGATGAGTACAATCAAACTTGGTTGATTCTATTAGCTTACATATGTCTTATGATGTTAGTAACTTGTTCTTAGGTGGTACTGGTATAGCTAAGTAGTACTGTATATTCATGCATTATTTCTTTAAAGACAGCTATGCTTGGAGGTATACACGAGAATAGACTTATTCTATGGTGCACCTGCTATCCACGTGCACACATTATCGTTTCTATTTACAGGCATAATTGAAGGTAAGAGCTCACTGCCTATTAAACAAAGTCATGCAGTTCATACTTAACAAGTGGAAAAAATCATTTCTTCAAAATGAAAGGGGGATATAGGGATGGCTTGAAGCACCAAAAAGGAAGAAACAAGGGGTCATTACACAGCAAAGTTGCACAAAGCTACATGACACCATCCCTATATCTTTGTTTGATATTGTTTGATATTAAACTTTGCTTATAAACAATAAAACAAAGATATAGGGATGGTGTCATGTAGCTTTGTGCAACTTTGCTGTGTAATGACCCCTTGTTTCTTCCTTTTTGGTGCTTCAAGCCATCCCTATATCCCCCTTTCATTTTGAAGAAATGATTTTTCCACTTGTTTCCACTATTTTTAACAGCTTCTGGCAACACTGCATTTATTGTTACAGTCACTCTGATGTTCATGGCTATGTTGTAGATAGGCTACCATAGACAAATTGAAAGTAGTAGCTAATGGGCTGCTAGATACCATGTATTGTCTTCAACAAGGATGTAATTAGGTTATTGCACATGGTTGTGGTTTCATTGGCAGGCTTTGGTAATCAGGCTACAACCTGGGGGGGGGGGGGGGGGGGGGAACAATGAAGGCCCATTTGACTGAGTGCCCCGCAAGTTGCTCTTCGTGCATATCAACAGCAGGATAGCCAGTTGGAAATGTGCACACTTACTTACAGAAGGTACTGGAGGCTGACAGTTCCTCTGCAGGTCTGCCCACTCGCCCGGTAGAATACGCTCGCAAGCACATTGGACAACGCCCCTGCCTGGCGCATGCGCGCGGATCACTGATGCTGAGTAAGCAGCAAATGGCGTTGTTCAGGTCGACCAGGGAAGAGCTCCATGATCTACCGTAGTGACTAGCGGCAAGAAAGAAACGATCGCTTGATGTCCGTGCACACCTCCGGCGAAATTGGAGACCTTCAGTGAAAAAATCAGTGCTTGAACTGGTACTGGTAAGGAGATAGCGGGTTTAAAGAAGAAGAAGAAGAAGAAGATGAAGAATATGATGACACGAAAATCGTGAAATCGCGTATGAGCGAATTCTCGCGTGGACGACTGAAGGTGCGTATGAGCTCTTGGGGGACATGTATAGGTAGATATGGGCCCGTAGATATTGCTAGTATGTTTTGAAGGCCTAGTAAGTGATTCTCACCGAGTTTTTAGTCGTTTTGTACGCGGATCACGTGAGATTTCACCCGTGTCATCCCTATATAGAGTCTACCGACTCTCTAATAAGTTCATGTTTGTATGCCTGCCAACTTTTGGCCGACAAATGATTGGAACATAGCTACTGGCTACTGAGCCTCCATTGGCTCTAATCTTTGCAGTAACTATCATGAGGTGAGCTTCCCAGAGAACATTATCAGGATGCATTCTGCTGTATCAGTAGAGCACACACATGGGGATTGCGTCATGACCACCTTGTGCTGTACCCCAGTGCTCATTATGGCCAGTAAAGCACTCCTTTTCCTTTGATGTTTTGTGACAGAGTACACTAACATGTGGATAAGAGTACATCTGAAGAGGACCATACAGAATGGCACTATTCAATTTATTTTCGGTGGTGAAATAAAATTCTTCCATCTTTGTCCATGGCATTATAAGAATCCTGAGCATATTATCCTGGTGATTTACCCATTGCAGCAGTATTATGCATTTCACTCTTTTTTAGCTCAACAACATCAACCATCTCCTGAAGAGAAGAGTAAAATGTTAACCACACCGACTTCACCTCAACTTGTATGAAGACAAGTGGCAACTGCACAAAGGATACTTTAACAATATTTTGGTAGAGATGCACAGCTTAGATGGAAACTGCTCTTGTCCAATAGGTACCATTACACGTCCTTTGGCATATAATTTCTTGACGTGAAGCTGCAGATCTAAAGTACCAGCTCTCGCTTATGGATTCCTTTCACCCTTTGATCATACTCTAGCATTGTCTTTCACATTATTATGCAATTTGGCATAATTATGTGGAAGCTTGGGGATGATGGGTTTGAGCATTTCCAGCCGCTTGATAGTTTCAGGAAAGCATCCATTATATTGGGTAGTGAGCTGTGAGAGGATAAATTTGGTTCTTTGCTTGGCCTTGTTAAAGGTTTTATTTTGGATGTTTGGGAGGTAAGAGAGGTTAGGTTATACGGCGATAATCCCGAACAGACCCAGTCTCAGATTGTGTCTGGGGAGCTGCAGGGTAACACTGGTGGAAGGAGTGAGTGGAGGTGTCTGGGAGGTGAGACAGACACCTCATGTTCATATGGTGCATGTTCGTTTGTTAACGGTTCCGCCCATTGCTCTGGGTGCATGGTCTGTGGCCCTAGTGCTATGGCAGCCACCTGAGTATTATTAGCTATGTGGAAATATTTTGTGCCAATAATAGCGTACGGAGCCAATTATCGAACGAGAGAGTTGTGTACTTGCGCTTGTAGCTCAATCCAGGAACATGCCCCGAGTTCGGTTCTGGTACCGTTGCAGACCCTAGTCCATGTTCTACACGACTCGCAAAGGTATATCGGTTTTCCATTTAGAGCAGCTCTTTGCCGTAGGCAATGTTGCTGTACCGTTTATCGAACGCGATACCCGAACGTCGAACATTCGAATTATCGAACAACAGGGGAAAACCCCACCTACTCAAGCACGCACAGTTTGCCTTCTTACGGCTACTGCACTATAACACACCTTAAATAATGAAAAGCACTAACGTGCAAACCCTCGGCGGTAAACTAGCGATTTGTAGTATCGCTGTATGCTGGGCCGTGCGTCATCGACTGAGCCAGTAACACGAGTCTCACCGTAACACAGGGTAGTTGCATTAGCGGTTAGAGCAATAGCTCAGGTGTTTCAGAGGCTCTCATATTTGCTTTATTCAATCTATCCGCTCTTCTGTGTTTCAATGCTCTCGCCAGACGTTTTATAGATGGGAAGGCAAGGCAAACTGCTCGCCACCTGAACTCATCCATACCAACCTGCAGATAAACATTTGCTTGAGATATGTGTCAAATTTGCTTGATTTGGAGTAGTTTTGCTTGAAAAAATGCTGCGTGTCCATTCAAAATGTATGGGCATGATGCATCACAGGTTAGCACCAAAAAAAGGGATTTGGCGATTTTCTGGTGGGATAGGCGGGTAGCTATTTTTGCTTGATTATCAAGCAAAAAGCTGGATGGTTGGTAGGTATGTGAACTATTATGCTACATTGCGAACATACCTTGCTCAGCATGTTTATCGTTTATCCATAGGGAACAGAGATCAAAACTGACAGGAGGCCATGGATCGTATATACAACGAACGTGGCGTAGCGCATGCTCCGGCGATTAATTGTCATGACGCGTGCGCGCTATATAGCTATAATAGCTAGCCTGCAGGAGAAGGTACCACACTCCTTGGTGTGTTGCCTTTGTTCCACTTGTATGGCATGGTTACAGTTCTATTCTCATTATTGCATGCAGGCAGCAAGGTAGTGTCTCTATCCAAGTTTGAGCCTGAAGTCTTCCTTAATGCAATCACCAAATTTAAGACAGAACTAGTCCACGTTGCTCCTCCTCTCATTCTTTTTCTTGCCAAGCATTCGACAGTGGTTAACTCTGACCTCTCTTGCATTAGGCAAATCACTGTTGGGGCTGCCCCGCTAGGTAGAGAGTTGGTCGAAACTGCCACAAGTAGATTGAAGTGTGAAGTAATTAGACAGGTTTATGGACTAACAGAAACAAGTGGATGCGTACACATGGCTCCTGCTTCCCTAAGCAAGGAAAAACCACAGTCTGTTGGAGTTCCAATCAAGAGTATCGATGTAAAGTGATGGACCCTGAAACCATCAGGTGGGGAATAAGGAGAGGTTCTGATCAGGGGTCCAAACATCATGAAAGGCTACCTTAATCTTCCGGATGCCACCAAGAGCTGTATCACCGATGACTGTTTGTTTCGTACGGGGGACATTGGCCACTTTGACAAGGACGGCTGGTTCTACATCACAGACCGACTCAAGGAGCTGATCAAGGTGAAGGGTTTGCAGGTTGCCCCGGCAGAGCTGGAAGCTCTCTTGGTGACCCACAAGAAAATCGCCGATGCCGCAGTCATCGGAGTGACCGACGAGAGACTGGGGGAGGCTCCGAGAGCCTACGTTGTGAAGAACGACTCCAGTCTCCAGGAGAGAGAGGTGGAGGAGTACATCGCTAGGAGGGTCGCCAAACACAAGCATCTAGTAGGAGGGGTCCAATTTGTCGATGCCATCCTAAGTCTGCTTCTGGGAAGATTCTGTGCCGTTTATTGATCTAGGTGGAATGAATAACAAAACCCCAATAATATAATTAATGTTGAGTTTTCTTTGAGATATTTTGTAGCTATAATGCATCAGCAGTATTTATTCCATGTATCTTTACTGTTTGTTCTATATAGCTACCTTGGAAATATGTGTTGTTTATCGCTAGCTTGCTCAGACAGCATTGCAGGGTGGAACTTTACACTGCACAAAAGTTCGGAGGCGTTCTGCTCTTGAGCTGACCGCTTTTAGAACGGAATACCCAAATGTGCCACAGTAACGTTGTACTGTGGGCCCCGGCGCGCGCACACATGTGACAGAATCGAAAATCGCCCTCAGTTGTAACTTAAGATGACTCCTACGTAAGTACGAAATGCGGTCAAGCCAGTGTGCCTTGTTCACTTGGCTTTCACGTAACAAATTTTGAAATTAGTAGCTACTTTATGTATGAATCACACTTATTAAAAGTAATCTAGCTATAGCTGTAATTATATCGAAGGGTAAACATTAATGGGGGAAATATTTTATTGTGTACTAGTTACGTTGCTTTCATGGTCTGTATGGAGCTTCAAAAATTCTTCTGGTGTACTTTGATAATTGTTGTCTTGACCTCACTATATTGCTGAAGACCATACTCACCAAGCTCTCGACCACTGCCCGATTCTTTAAATCCGCTGGTCTGCGAGCTTGTACAGTAGGCGTCCATGCCCAGAAGCATCCTTAGAATACAGCTGGCACCACATTCTATCGCAAAATAACCATATTATAATAAACAGACTGGTCACTACACATTTTTCAAAATAACCAACCAGAAAATTAGTAGCTATCTTACTCTCAAAATGAATGCCTACACATTCTTTTAGCAAAAAGTGGATTATATATTATGGTAGCCACACATTCCCTTACTCATTGAAAATAAAGCTGGCACCACATTTAACGAATCATAAAATAAATGGAGTGGTCACTAGCTATACATTTTTCAAAATCTCCAAGCAGAAAATTAAAGAAGTATATCTTACTATCTAAATGAGTGCCTACACATGCATTATTTTAGCAATAAGTGTAGTAGCCACATACGGATATACCCATTCTCATTAAGAAAAAATGCTGGCTCCACATTCTATCACAAACTAACCGTAAAATAGAGTGGTAACTGCACATTTAATATATTCACCAACCAGCAGTAGCTACCTTACTATCAAATGAGTGCCTACAAATTCTTTTAGCAAAAAGCATATTATATATGGTAGCCACACATTCCCTTACCCATTTAGAATACAGCTGGCACCACATTCTATAATAGACAGACTGGTCACCATACATTTTTCATTATCACCAACCAGAAAATTAAAGCAGAATCTTACTATCCAGACGAGTGGCTACACATTCTTTTAGCAAAAAGTGTATTATATGGTAGCCACACCATTAAGAATGAAAAGCACTAAAGTGCAAACCCCTCGTCGAACTGGGCATGCGCGGTACCGATAATTGATGGGCGGGGCTTCTATTAGTATGCGTTCCAGTTATAATTATGTCCAACATACGCGCTTCTTGGGGGCGGCGAGACTACGCGCGTGAGTAAAAGTAGAGAACGATTTCCCTTGAAAATCGAGTAAAAGATCGATGTGGTGAACGACTTCCTAAGTAGAACAGCGAACGATTTATTGACAAGCCTATATCTACTTTGCGGAAACGGGGTGCATATGCGCATATACGCGAAAGAAGTGCAAATCCTCGGGGAACTGCGCATGCGCGGTACCGCTAATTGATGGGCTGGGCTATTTGTAGTATGTCTTTACTCGTAGTCTCCCGCTAGTAGCTCGCGGAGAGTCGAACACGGGCTAGCTACAGTAGTAGATAGAATGCGGAAGTCGATACACGCCCTTCGTTGTGACTTCATGTGCCTTCAAGATACACAGAGCAAGCGGACCCGGTCGAGGTAAGCCTGTGCTAATTAGCAATTGGCTTGTTCACTTGCTTTTCACGCCATAACTTTAGAACGCAGTATTTTTACGAAAATCGCCATTTTTAAAATGAAGCCAGTGTAGCGCTGAACCTGTTGGTGTCGCTTTTTGGCCGGTTTGTTGCGCGTGGTGGCAGAAAACGTGGTAACAGACACACAGACAGACAGACACACATACCAACCACTATAGCCCTCGAGCGCATGCGCGCTGAGGGTTAATTATAGAAGGAAGGTGCACGTTGAGGTATTAGATGAGAGCATTCCCATAGCGTGCCATGTCCTAAAGACGTCATATCCATAGTATCCGAACCTTCTATATAGTGTGTGATGCCCAGCCTACTATAATCTGCGGACTAAGGTGACCGTTCTGCGATCTGATTTGAGTTCTAGACCGACAAACGCGTGCCTCGCGTGCAAAAGGGGTGTTCACACGAAATCGAGACACGAATAAGATCACAGACCGTCAAAATCAATTTCGCGTGTTTTTGTAGAGGCATCACACACTGAAGAGTGGTTCGCGCTATCACGAAATCGATTAGAGCAAGTGAAAGGTCGTTAACGCAATCGATGATTGGTTTGGAGAACGATTTCCCGACTCGATAGAGAATTTAGAAATCGATTCTTCACAGGAAGAGCCTATACGTTTGGCGGAAACGGCGTTCAATAACAGAGAGGGGCCACAAAGGAGACCAAGAAAAGTGATACCAGATGTACCATTGCCCGCACTGCGGATTTTCCCTGATTGCTGGATGCATAGGCACAGAAACGAGTCCAGGGGTCAATAGCTACGTAATTCGGAAAACAATTATACGGCAGCTTGAGAGAGCCAACGTGCTGTATAGCTAACGTGTCACTGCCGGGAGTGGTGGAAACCGAGGTGGTGGAAACTAACGGCTGTAGCTACATAATGCTCTCCAGGTTGCGGAGAACTATATAGCTACTCAGTTACCAATTGGTCTATGTCAGAGATTTTTTTTTCCAAGTAAATTCGCTGTAAGGAGGGTCGGTACACCACAAGAAGTACGAGATATAATCATAGAAAAAGCAAAAACGGAGGGCTAGCGACCTGGATCATTCGATCACGTGAGCTACTTTGCTGCTGATAATAACGGGTTTTTTGTTGGTGAGCTAGATAGAGAGCTAATCAGCTGCATTTCCGCTGTAAAATATTCTTCTAATTTTGGATCATACATTGTAGACAAGAAATACCGGGGTAAAGGATATGGATTGCAAACTTGGAAAGTTGCCCTAGCCTCACTAAGTGAGAGCTGCAATATGGGAGGCGATGAAATCGTTGAAAATGTGTATAGAGCCTTTTTGGGAAGAACAGCGGTTTCAGTTTGTTGCAAGTGGAGTATCAAAAGCACTTGCTAACTTCAATGTCACTGATAAAACTATTGAAACAATACCACCTTCACAGCAGGTTTTCTACAACTTGCTGAATCCGCTAGTGCGACGCCCAGCTCTCAACATGTGCATTGATCCTGGTAAAATCATCAACCTCTACCAGCTCATGTGCTGTATAATATATACATCTACTTATATATTATAATTTCCCAGATGAGGTGCCTAGGAGGATGTCATCAGATCCAAGAGTGGATCATCATTAGTTTTTGTATGCTATACACCAAAAGTGGTATAACTTTAGCCTCGTTCCAGCTTTTCAGGCGGTTCAAAGGTCATACTTTGCATGAAGAGGGTGAGCCTCATGGGAACAAGGCTAGTGTAAATTCACAGACTAAAGAAAGAGCGAATGCACTTAGGTCAGAAGGTGTAGCTAGTGACTGAATGTGCAGTATACTAAGGACTGAGCCCGTGTATGTACTGTGTGGGCCAGCGGACACTGCCTGTGAACGCAACGTCAAAGCTACAGTCTGAAATTCCAGTTCAACCTACTTTGGAAAACTTTAGCAGGGATTGGCGACCTCCTTACTGAAGATCGGGTCGTGCATCTTTTGGCCAGCATCCCATAATCCTTCAAAATGTTGGTGAACTGCCCTTGATGCAAACTGAGGTTCCAATACAGTTGAAGGACAGTGGATACGTACAGCAGCATATTAATGGACACTACAAAAGCTGGACTGTGGACTGGACTGGACCATGACCAGGATTGCCTCCAGTCTTGGTCATTCGTCAGAGAAATGGCACTGGCTATGTCGCTACGCCAGTCTACCTGAACCATGTTACCAACCAGTTCAACTTAGCCAAGATGAGGAGCCTGCCAGCCATCTCTATGACATTTTTTGTGTCAGATTGTAGACTATCCACAAAGCGCCATCTCTGACTATTCTGCGCTTGGAACGAAGCTAGGCACTAGGTTAGGACTGCTCCATGCAACACAGATGATGACTCTACTGACTGCTCATAGCCATCCTGACTAATGAAGAATACTAAAAACTCCGTCACACTCACAGCGTGAGCCCTAGAGCCAAGCTAAATGCACAGTACCTTACTTCCTTTTTACAACTCGCTGTGTGGTTTCAAGTGAATTCTCCGTCTGTGTAGTCAACATACCTTAAAGTCGTAATTTTTAGCGACTACTTAATTTAGCTATATTAGCGAGTAACCCCGAAATCGCTAATTTAACCGAGCGCTGAAATCGACTCATGAATGATTTAACGAGCAATTACAGTATACGGGTATAATACGGTATTTAGTTACCCGTAGTTAGCTGTCTATAGGCTGTTCCTCATCATCGTCAGTGTCGTCGGCTTCTTCGTCGTCAGTATGCTGGCTGGCTCACCTCGACTTGTTTGCAATTATGACTCATTAAAATTTGGGGAAAATGTAAGATCGCTAAATTTTCTACCCGCTAAATACGGTATGCGACCAAATCGCTAAAATTTAAGAGCGCTAAAAATTCCGACTTTAATAGGTCGAGCATGTCGATGTCGTCGAAGGTCGTGAGAGGTCGTGCATTCCTAATTGGAATTCTTGTACGATTCACGTGACCGTGTCCAGACCCTAGCTAGCTAGCTCACACGATCACGCATCGCTTCCGGTTTTTGCGTGTTCGCATGCCAACCCCTGACCCCTGCCAATGACCCTCTGAGCGCAATGCCGCAGACGGATGCTGGCTGAGGACTTCGTGGATCACCGCCTTCTTTCACAATGCTTGCCGCCGATAAGACACGCGGCGTCACCTACAAAATCGGCTTTATTGGCTGCGGAAACATGGCACGCTCTCTGGCTGAGGGAATGCTGTTATCTGGTAACTCAACCACATTGACACGTGCACCTTCATTGTTTTCATGTTCAACCTCTTTTTTGTATGCAGGTCAGGTTGTAACAGGCCACATTATAGCGTCAGCAACACGCGAAAGCTCTGAAAACCTGAAGAAAATGAAGGTAGCTATGAGGGGCAATAAAGCCTTGTGATGGTAATGTCAATTTCTTGACCATCCTGATCATGGGTTGTATTTGTAGCTCAGCCTTATTCCAACTGTAACACTTCTACTCTGCTGACATAGACATAAGGCTGATAAGATATGCATGTAAACTAACAGCTCACGCTATGCACACTAAGAAAGAAGAGACCAGTTGAGATAGTTTGGGTCTCTGTATGGGGTTACTCATGTAGGACTAGAACACATGCACAAGCAGGTACATGACAGCGACAACATAATTATATTACACAGATATGCAGAACAGACATGTAGCCATAATTAGCAATAAAAAAAGTCGGGGGAAAGGTGACAAAATCTCTAACTGGCTATACAATTCGCCTGTAGGCTCTAGGAGTGACAACAACAGCACACAATAGAGACGTGATCCTCAACTCTGATGTGATAGTTCTGGCAACCAAGCCCCAACAGATCCTGGACATCACAACTGAGATACAAGCCTCGATATCTGACTCTCAGTCTCAAACTCATCTGCAGCCATATACTGCTAGCGCCAAGAACTGGAGACCCCTCATTGTGTCTGTGGCAGCATCTATCACTATCTCCGACTTGGAGGAAAAGGTCTGTGCATGCCCTGGAGTAAAGGGGGTCTGTGAATGCCCTGTTGTTTTCATTAGAGATTTTTGTGGCATTTAAAGTGTAATCAGACCCAACCTCAAGTTTGTAGTCTTTTAATTGCCCAAAGTTATGCAAAGTATTTTCTTCTGGAGAAATTCTTTTATCTTTCAACTACATTTAATATCTCCCGTAATGCATTTAATATGTTGAATGCAATGTTTAATGCATAAAGTACATACTGTATACAGCAGTAGTAATGATGACATTACAACGGTGTAGCTATCTTTCTCCAGATATCAATGAGTAAGGGAGGTTCTCCAGTTGCCAGCCCTCTGCCAGTTATAAGAAGTATGCCAACTGTTGCTAGCAGTGTGGGTGCTGGAATCACTGCATATTGCAGTGGCAACTCATGCAATGAGGTTGATGTAAAGCCATTTGTCAAACTCTTCTCTCTGTGTGGGCCTGTAGTAGAGGTACCTGAGAAGTATCTCGATGCTATAACTTCTGTCAGTGGCTGTGGAATTGCCTTTGTGAGTCAGTGTCTGTCTGTCTGTCTGTCTTTTTCACTTCTATTGGAAGCAATGTTCGAGGAGTTAGTTACAATTTTTCGAGGATTCAGGTGAAGTCAAGTAGACTTTAACCACAGCAAACGGTGCTTACGTCTTTGACTTGTAGTTAGCTATAAAAGAGATGTTGTTACAGTTTAGAAAGATTTAATGTTATGGCTTATAGGTGTTTCTTGTTCCAGGCTGCAGTAGGTCTTGAGGGAATGGCAGATGGTGCAGTACTATCTGGCCTACCCAGACAAATTGCTCAAAAGTTTGCAGCACATGCCATGATGGTGAGTCAGACTTTAGTAGCTCTCTTCTCCTGTTGTAGTAGCTACTAACATGGTTATAACTGATCACAGAGTGCGGCAAAACTAGTACTCCATAAAGGCCTGAATCCAGCTGATGTAAGTTGAAGTAGCTATAGTTGCAGTAAACTATCAGTTAAGCGTCTTCCACTCCACTGCAGATCAAGGACAGTGTTTGTGGGCCAGGTGGGGCCACAATGTATGGGATCCAGAAGATGGAGGCCAAGGGAACTCGAGGGGCCTTTATCGATGCGGTTATGGCGTCAACTGTAATAACCAGCAGAGTGCTTAAACCAAAGTTGTAGCTTTGCCATCATGATTGTGTATATGATGCGCCCTTGTTTTCGGAATGTACTCCCTCCCTGTCCATTGGCTTTTATCACCGTATTGACCATTCCTTTGTGAGAAGGGAAAAAAATATCCTCATTCCTCTGTCATGTCCCAGTAGGTGTGCCACAATGAAGAAAACAAGACAAAATAACACTCTAAAATCTATGCATGACAGCATTGTGATGGTCCCGGATAATTCTCAAAGAGCAGCCATAGCACTAAGAACATTGACCACACACCAGAACACTGGACGGAGCTAGAAAAAGACATAACACTGGGCGGAGCTAGAACAAGACAGGACATTGGGAAGACAGAACACTGGGTGGAGCTAGAACAAGACAGAACACTGGACGGAGCTAGAACAAGACAGAACACTGGACGGAGCTAGAACAAGACGGAACACTGGACGGAGCTAGAACAAGACAGGACATTGGGTGGAGCTAGAACACTGGACGGAGCTAGAACAAGACAGAACATTGGGTGGAGCTAGAACAAGAAAGAATACTTGAATTTTCTTACATTCGCAGGAAATAATTACACTAAGGGCCACTTCAAAATTTCCCAGCATTTTTAGTGAAAATCCGAATCTGGAATATTTCCGGCATTGTTAAAAGTGGAGGGCTTTTTTCACCAAAGTAATGCCATATTATGGAAATTACACACTCACTTGTAAAGTAAATTTCGTTTTGACACTGTTAGTTTGGAACTGAAGTGCAAAACCTCGGCGCAATACGCATGCGCGGCACTGCTAATTGATGGGCTTGGCTAAGAGTATGCGTTTACTCGTGGTGTCCACGATAGTTGGTCGCGGAGAGTCTGACACGGGCTACCTTCACTATAAGATAGCATGCCGATGCGGGAGTCCATACACGGCCTTCGTGGTGACTTCTTGGTGCCTCCGCAAAGTATAATATACAAAGAGCAAGCGGATGCTGGATATTGCCTTTTTCACGGCATATCAGGAGAGCGTTTAGAACGCTGACTGAGTTTTTGTTAAGTGCAATGTCTGAAATGAAGACAGTTTCGATCGTTCCTTTGAACGAAACGAATTATCCAACGTGGAAACTGCAGTGTCGAATGGCACTCATGAAAGATGGCCTGTGGGGGATTGTCAATGGTACGGAAGCTGCTCCTGATGAGGCGAATGCCGAGAGGCACGCCAAATATATCTCTAGGCGAGACCGAGCATTGGCACTTATTGTGCTGTCAGTGGAGCCGTCTTTATTGTATCTGATTGGCGACCCCGAAGATCCTGTCAAAGTGTGGAAGAAACTTTTGGATACATTACTTGGGTTAACAAGCTTGAACTCCGACGAAGACTCTACACTTTAAGGCTGAAGGACGGTGGATCCGTACAACGGCATATTAAAGCAATGACGGAAATCTTTGATTCCTTAGCAGTGATTGGCGACGCTGTTAATGAAGAAGACAGAGTTGTGCATCTTTTGGCCAGCCTCCCTGAGTCCTTCAACATGTTAGTAACTGCCCTTGAGGCAAATCCTGAGGTTCCGAAAATGGAAACCGTCACTGAACGATTGCTCCATGAGGAGCGCAAGATGAAGGAAAGGGAAGATACTGTACCAGGAAAACCGAAAGCAATGACGGCACAAGGCCGTAAAGAGAAATTTAACTGCCACTACTGCGGTAAGCCTGGGCATTTTAGACGAAACTGCAGGAAACTGGCTGCTGACAATGAGAAGAAGGAGAACCCCGGCACAAAAGAGAAAGATAAACACAAAGTGAATAAAGCTTCATCTCGAAAACAGGAAGAGAATAGCGAAAGCAGTGATTGTGATGCCCTAGTTGCATTCCATGCCCTCTCGGCTAATTCCAGAATCAACTGGATCGTAGATTCAGGCGCAACATGCCGAATGTGCAACAACAGAAAAAGGTTTGCCACATTTCGAAGCTTCAAGAAAGCCCAAGAAGTAACTCTTGGAGATGGGTATGTGCTAGAAGCGACTGGAGAAGGAACTATGCAAATAAAAATGAAACTTCCAGATGGAAAATTTCGGAGGTGTAACCTACGCAACGCCCTGTTTGTACCGAGGCTTTCATACAACCTTCTCAGCGTATCAAAAGCAACAGAGGCTGGAATAACAACCAAATTTGATAAGAATGGTTGCCAAATACTCAACAGTGACATGAATGTCATAGCGGTAGCAAAGAGAGTTGGAAATCTCTACTACCTGGAATGTAAGGAAAATCAAAGTCTGTGTGCTACAGTTCAGACTCAGAGCAAGGAAAGTCTCTGGCATCGCAGATTTGGACACCTTAGAGAGCATAGCCTAACAAAATTGGCAAAACGTGGACTCATCAAGAGTTTTGACTACGACTATTCCAAGGAAATCGGTTTTTGCGAACCTGTATCGGGGGTAAGCACCAGAGAGGAAAATTTCCAACAAGCAACACTAGATGTAAAGAACCACTCGGTTTGGTTCATAGTGACGTTTGCGGAAAGATGAGCACAGAATCTCTTGGAGGCGCTGAGTATTTCCTCACATTTATTGACGACTCCACTCGTTATGTGTGGATCTATCCACTAAAACACAAAAAGAAGTGTTTTCTCGCTTCCTGGAATGGAAGGCCATAGTGGAAAAATCCTCCGGAAGAAAGTTGAAAGTCCTTCGAACTGACAATGGTGGCGAGTATACGTCAACCAAGTTTGAGGCCTATCTCAAAGCAGAGGGAGTGCGTCATGAACGGACAGTGCCAAAGACACCTGAACAAAATGGTGTGGCAGAAAGACTAAATCGAACACTTGTGGAATAACCCGTTCAATGTTATTAGACTCGAAACTCCCACACAACTTTTGGGCCGAGGCACTTGTTACAGCGGCCTATATAAGAAATAGAATCCCAACAAAGGCCGTTGATAGCATGACTCCGTACGAAGCATGGACAAGTTTGAAACCGACCGTGAATCATTTTCGCATTTTTTGGGTGTGATGCTTTCGTGCACATCCCAAAGGACGAAAGACACAAGCTCGACTCCAAAAGCAAGAAGTGCATTGTTCTAGGGTACGGAGAACAAACCAAGGGGTATCGGCTATATGACCCAGAAAAGAAAATAATACTTTATAGCCGGGATGTCAAGTTCAATGAAAAAGAAAAGGAAGCTAAAGATAGCTATTGATGGTCGCATTGAACTAGATTTTTAAGACAACACAGGAGAAAGTGATGAGCCTCAGATTGAAACTGCCAACGAAAACCGTGAAATGGCTCCTAGAAGATCCGAACGACAAAGAAAACCTCCAGACTTCTACGGAATCAGGGTAAATGTGAGCAGTGAAAAGCCATGCGAACCAGCAATAATAGAAGAAGTAACCAACTGTTCAGAAAAAACTGAGTGGATGCAGGCTATGGAAAAAGAAATGAAATCGCTTAAACAAAATAATGTTTGGGAACTGGTGGAATTACCAAGTGGTAGGAAAACAGTAGGAAGCAAATGGGTCTACAAAGTCAAAACTGGGGTAGATGGATTACAAAGCAAGATTGGTTGCCCAAGGGTACACACAAAAGTTTGGGACCGACTATGACGAAATGTTTTGTCCAGTCGTCAGAATGGAATCACTCCGAGCCCTAATAGCTTTGTCGGTTCAATTTGGTCTACAGCTGCATCAAGTACATGTAACCACAGCTTTCTTGAATGGAGAGCTTGAGGAGGAGGTGTACATGCAACAACCAAAGGGTTTCGTTCGTACAGGAGAGGAACACCTATTGTGTATAAGCTTAGAAAGAGCATATATGGGCTCAAGCAATCTCCTCGCTGTTGGAATTCCGCTCTCGACAAACAGCTTAAAGAAATGGGTTTTGTTCAGTCGACCAGTGATCCATGTATATACGCTGATGCAGGAGGAGAAACATTCTTTATTGGGATCTATGTTGATGACATTGTTTTGGTGGGTCTATGTGAGGACAGAATCAAAAGGGTGAAAGAAACCCTGTCTCAAAAATTTGATATAAAGGACATTGGCAAGCTACACTATTTTCTGGGGATGCAAATACTGCAAGACCAGAAAATATTTGGATCGGACAGCCCACCTACACGGTAAATCTCCTTAAAAATTGTCGCATGAATGATTCTAAACCAGTTAGTACTCCAGCTGATGCAAGCCAAAAACTTGTAAAGGCAACTGAGGGAGAGGAGAGTGTTAACCAGCAACAGTATCAATCTATTACTGGCTGCCTGTTGTATCACATGCGACAAAAATTATTGTCCCTGGTCGGATATTCTTGAGACGGATGATAGACGGGGCCAGCATCTGGATCACCAGGTCCACCTCAACCAGGAGTTCAAATCGGACCTAGCATGGTGGCAGACTTTTATTACCTCATGGAACGGTCGGGGCATGAGTGTGGCTACCAACGAGACCCCCAGGTTCACCTTCAGCACAGATGGGGCTGTGGCGCCTGTTGGGAAGACAGGTGGGTACAAGGTTCGTGGGACGGCATGTGGAAGGAAACGAACATTGCCACCAAGGAGCTCTTAGCGATTCTGTTGGCAGTAGCAATGTGGGGTGTGTTTTGGCAGGGAAATCAAGTTCGGGTGCAATGTGACAACATGACAGTTGTGCACATCATTGCGGCGAACTCCAGCAAAGACGCAACAATAATGCATTTGCTGCGGGGATTGCACTTTGTCTCGGCATACTATAATATTAACCTGCGGGCGGCCGGTGCATATCCCAGGCAGTATCAACATATGCCCTGATGCAATTTCTCGTAACCTTTTACAGGTGTTCTTCAGAGAAAACCCCCAAGCAAGAAGGTACCCCACACCGATTCCAGACTGCTTGTGGAACGTCCTCGTGCGGACCCAACCAGATTGGAGATCAGAGAGTTGGAGAGGATCGCTAGCCGCCTCATTAAGTATAGCATCGCGGATAGCACAAGAAGATCGTATGCTACCGGCCAGTCCACCTATATCTCATTCTCTCACCTCTCCCTGCCTCCGAACAGCAGTTGATTCTATTTGCGGCCGACTTGGCGCATCGGTTGTCGTCTTCAACTGTTCGATCGTACCTGTCAGCAGTTAGATTCCTTCACGTTTCAAATGGGCACGGAGACCCACTAACTGGTAGACTCCAACTGGACCTATTGTTGTGAGGAGTCAGAAAAAGCAAACCGGCCGGAAAAGACAACCTCCCGGTTACACCTTTGGTACTGGAGAAGATGTATGGGATTCTGAACAGAAACCCTAGTGACTACGAGAACAAACTGCTATGGGTGGCATGTTGTCTTGGATTCATTGGTTTTCTTCGCTCGGGCGAGTTCACCGCTCCATCTAGAGAGTATGACCCATCATGGCATCTGTCAGTGCGAGATATAGCCGTGGACTCGACCACCAATCCTACCTGGCTGCAGATAACTATCAAGGGATCAAAAATGGACCAACTGCGGCAAGGTGTGAACATCGTGGTCGGCAGGACTAGCTCTCATATCTGTCCGGTAAAGTCAGTCCTGGCATATGTGGCTTGCAGAGGCTTTGGACAAGGCCCCCTGTTCCGACATAAGGATGGTTCCCCTCTTACTAGAGAGCAGTTGGTGAGCGGCATGAGAGAGACTCTGTCAGCAGCAGGTGTGGAGTACCACAGGTTCTCAGGTCATTCGTTCAGGATAGGAGCAGCCACTACTGCGGCGGCTAGGGGCGTGGCAGATTCCACCATACAAACCTTGGGCAGGTGGAAGAGCGAGTCATTCAGGCGCTACATCAGAATGCCCAAGGCGGAGCTGGCGTCATACTCTGGAAGACTGGTTTCATGACTGTTGCACCATTGAATACTCGGGAGAATCGGTTTCATGTCTGTTGCACCATTGATCTGTCATCTCGGTTGGTTGTACTGGTGTTATGCATAGCTACATTCCTTTGATCATGTATCTTCACGATATTATCGGAGCGCAGTTGAGGGGAGGGACAGACTGGTGTTGGGGTGTTATGATGTCCTAGAGGGTAGGGGGTGATGCTGGGTAGGTTAAAAAAAAAAAAAAAAAACACCAAAACAAAAAAAACAAACCAAAAAAAAAAACACAAACAAAACCAAAAAAAAAAACAACAAAAAAAACAAAACAACAAAAACACAAACAAAAAAAACCACAACCCCCCCCCCCCCCAACCCCCCAACAACAACCCCACAAACCCCCCCCCCCCCCCCCCACCACCACCCACCACACACACACCCCCACACCCCACCCACCCAAAAAACCACACACCAAAAAAAAAAAAACAAAACAACCAAAAACCAACAAAACACACAAAAAAAAACAACAAAACAAAAACACAAACCCCAAAAACAAAAACCAAAAAAAAAAACCAAAAACCAAAAAAAACACCCAAAACAAAAAAACAAAAAAAAAAACACAAAAAAAAAAAAAACAAAAACAAAAAAAAAAAAAAACCACACAAAAAACAACACAAAAAAAACAACAAAAAACAAAAAAAAAAACAACAAAAAAACAAAAAAAAAAAAAAAAAAAAAAAAAAAAAAAAAAACAAAAAAAAAAAAAAAAAAAAAAAAAAAAAAAAAAAAAAAAAAAAAAAAAAACACAAAAAAAAAAAAAAAAAAAAAAAAAAAAAAAAAAAAAAAAAAAACAAAAAAAAAAAAAAAAAAAAAAAAAACAACAAAAAAAAAAAAACAAAAACAAAAAAACACAAAAAAAAACAACAAAAAACAAAAACAAAAAAAAAACAAAAACAAACAAAAAAAAAACAAAAACAAAAAAAAAAAAAAAAAAAAAAAAAAAAAAAAAACAAAAAAAACAAACAAAAACAAAAAAAAAAAAAAAAAAAAAAAAACAACAAAAAAAAAAAAAAAAAAAAACAAAAAAAAAACAAAAAAAAAAAAAAAAAAAAAAAAAAAAAAAAAAAAAAAAAAAAAAAAAAAAAAAAAATTTATGTTACTAGGTGGGGAATTTGGGGGTTCCCCAGCATCACATCAGTGAAGTTTACAGATGGCGGGGTTATGGGGAAGAAATGAGCTGGTCATACCCCTCCTTTTAGGGTTGGCGGCAAGGGAGTAGTGTAACTACCCCCCTTTAGTGTGGTGGCGGCAAGGGTATCAGAAGATCCCTTCATTTATGCAGCGGGAGGGGTTATCAGCGGCTCTGCGGCGTGCTGACACAGCCCCGCCATCATGTACCAAATATAACTACCAATAGTGGTAGTGCTGTGGGGGGGTTTAATAACTGCGAAGTGGGTTAACGATGGTTCTTCCTCTAGCAGCCCTATAAGTGGCTGCACATATTTGCCAGCTCAGCTGCTGTTTTGATACTACATCTTCACACCTACCCTTCACACCTATAGTAATGTTTGGAATCTCCATACCACAATGTGTTCGTAGCTATCAATCAAAGGTCAAGGCATGAAATTTTTGGCCAGTGGGAGCAAGTCATTTTTAGGCTTTGGAACACAGTTAGTAACAATTACAAGGAAGATGAGGTGATGAAAGGACTGTTTTAAGGGACTGTAAGACTATGACACACACATGTGTGTTATAATGAATGACTGCTAAAGTGCATGTCTCAAACGAGGTAGAAAGGCAAGGCAAGGCAAACAAGTCAACTACACCCAGGACAGCTCTTTCTTTTCAAGGTGCCCTAGGTGGCACTCGAACCAACGACGCTCTGCAGTCTAGGAGAGCCCTCTGTATACCAACTGAGTTACCAGGGCAAATCAGCTTCACACAACACAACACTAAAGCAAACCAAACCTCAAACCTCTTTTCTATGGCACAGTATACTCTCACTCAGTATGTAGGGGGTAAATACTGTATACCACCAAAGAAACCCAACTCCAAACTGAGTCTCTGCTCAATATCAGTCTGGTTCTTATATCTGTGTGGGCATAACTGATACAAATTTTCTTTATTTTCTACTGAGTTGCACTGAAATTGTGCAGGCACCCAAGAGCATACACACAAGTGGGTGCAGTGTGAATACTGCCATAGATGGTTTCACTGTGTGTGTGTGAGGGCGTGAAGCCACGTACCGTTTCAAGTGTATGTTTTGTTGAAGCACTGAGCTACACTCCGCGCAGGCGCCCTACAGATCAGTCGCGCCCTTGCCACCGCGCTAGTCGACTGATCCTGCCAAAGCCTAGGCAGCACTACATCGCAGACCTGTTGTCAGTTAAGACTGATTTTGCAGCTATTTTTACTAGTTAAGCCCCAAGACTTGAAAATGTACATAAATCTACTATCGAAGTACCAAGTCGATATTAACTCATTGTTAGACGTGGTGGCAAAACGAACCCGTGTCTCCAAAAGCGCGAGTCCGCTGAGGTCGCTCACTACTCAAACGTGACGTCAAAAATCGTGTTTGCGTCACATTGACCTTGCAACTCGAAGTTAGCGGACGACTCTATCTCAGGGACTGGGTCCAGCAAGATCGACAGAAATAAATAACTGAGTTCAAGTAAAAGTTTTGGGCCAACCAAAGGTTACATCGAAGTCAAACAAAGCCTGATATAAAGCTCAATTAAACCGCAAGTAGGCGTGGTTACATTGACCACGCCCACTTCCGCATCAATGGGATAGTACAATCTTAGTAGCGGTCGCTCTCCAGACAATATCGCAAAAGGCGGTCATGAAGACGCTGGTTGTGGGCAGCGAAGTTCACACCCAACAAAACCTAGAGGACTTATCTAGTAGGTATCAATTTTGGATAGAGATCCGCGGCACCAAAAGCGAGAAACAGGTGAAAAACGCAAAAAACAGTACCTTGGTCGGAACTACTCCCGAGTGTTTCTCTGCCAATCCGTTTTCAATCTCAATCCAAAATTGATACATTACAAACCGATGGTATACCTATCTTTTGCCCCAAGAAATATCGCCGTAGCACACGTTTAACTACACCGCCTCGACCAAGCCGGGTGGACTTAGGGGGGCCGGGCCATAATCAGCGTCACGTGATTCATCGGAAATTTACTCGCGTGTGTGCGTGTAAGGATCAGCTCCGAGATACCCCAGGTACCAGCAGCCCCTCTAGCCTTAGCTCTAGTCTCGGAACCAGCCCCTCTCAGACGGGAGAGAGGGTCTAGTACCGTACGAGCGCAGCTGGGAGGACTCGGCGTGGCGCGCCCACGCATTGACATGAATACCATGGCAACTATGTAATTTCTAACCGCGGTATGCGTACTCGCGCGACAAACGGAAGGCCCAGTCCTGAGAACGACGGCCTTAACGACCAAGCGAAGGCACTAATTATACGAGCGACATAAAACCTAGAGCATACTTGCCAACCGTCCCACATTCCGCGGGACTGTCCCGCAAAAAACAGTGGCGTCCCGCTGTCCCGCAGCAGAGCCTTATTGTCCCGCGTCCGTATGGCACGCGATCCGTAACAATAATCCCCAAGGTATTACCTGTAGGTAATATATAATGTTTAGAGTTTTTGTTACGGTGTACCATACGGCTCCGCGTCACTGCATTCGCGCGCAGGGAGTTTCTATATAGCTCGCTGCGCATGCGTACGATGTGGAGAGACTTGACCTTTGTCCTTTTGCTATTAGCAGCGATGTTAGGGAAACTGGGGAAAGGGAGCAACACAAAGAAGTCTACAAACAAGAGAAGATGCAAAACAGTCCTAATTTTAAGTGTGTGCATATTAAATAATTGATGTAGTGTTTCTGTCCTGCAATTTTTCTTCATGTCCTGCATTTCTGAACAAAGTGTCCAGTAAAATGAATTTACATGGTTGGCAAGTATGCTAGAGTATCTTCAAAGGAGCGTCCAGGTCAGCCATTAACAGGTTACTGCTCACCTGTGTTTTAAGTATACCGTTCACTTGCTATGTGCGCTGCCAGACTTCTGTAGTTGTCCAAAGACCTAGTGTAGCTACATGCAGTTATCGCAGAGCGATGCCCTTCAAACACCATGTATAGCTACTTGGAGAAAAGCAGATGTTGCTATGTGTAGTGGCTAGAGTAGAGACTAATCCCATTCCAATAAGCAACTGGAGCAACATGGTCTGCTTTGTACGGTGCCGATTTCCCATTCCGTTTTCTTATGTTTTCAATCCCAAATTCCGTTTTCTCGTTCCTCACTCCGTGTTTCTCACCTAGGCCTGTTCCCCATGCGCTAGTCAACGAGGACGAGTGAAGTGCGCTCGCCAATACAACTGCCATGAATACTGCTACACGCTGGGAGCGAACTGGGACCGCCAGGCCCTAGTCTCCTTCCCAGGCCCCGCAAAAACAGCCTGGGAAAGAGCCTACGATCGTCCATCACTCACTACTAAGGGGCGTGACCGCGGGCGACACGTATATACACCGACCGGCGCTGCTGTTGGGGACCACGTCATGATTGGTAAAGCTCGTACGTCTCGAGCGCATAGGGCTTTAGTAGTGTGCATAATCGCGCCTGCCTCAGTATGCGCCCAGAATTTGAGACGCTAGCCACTCTCTCGCCCTTAGCTGCGAGGTCGCAGGTTATGAAACCGGAAATCGAGAACAGCATTTGAAACGCATCGCTGGAAATTGGAGAATGGAATGGAAAACGGAATGGAAATCGACATGGCACCTATCGGCCACCGTAGGTGAATTTGGAAATGGAAACACGAAATGGAAATTGGAAGGATGGCACTTGTCGGCCACCGTAGCTTTGTGCTTGATGAGCAGAATTGGTAGTTAAGCTTAAAAAAAACAGTGGCGGTGCACATGCTTTGCACGAGCGCAGTCAAAAATCGGACCCCCCCTTCCTAGATCCGCCACCGAAAACGTGCCGTATCATACTGAATTTCATACCTTATTAGGGTTACTTACGATAGATGGCAAAATTGTTCCCCAAATATCTTTCACGTCATTTTTTCCTTTATTCTCTGATATAATTATATGACTTAAGGTGACGTGATTGAAAGTAAAGTTACATAGAGATCATTCATAACTACTTTTTCTATCGTCTCATCTATGTCAAAATTATTAGGATATCCCAAAACATCCCTTTATATTGCATATATATATTTACAAGTTTTATGCTGTTTCTTTACACTAATTAATGTTTGATCCTTACTCACTGTAGCATATATATTATTCATCCACTCCCACTCTGTTGTAACATAGTTCACATTCTATACACAGCAATGAAAAACCACTTGTAGCTGATGGGAATATAGCCTCTGGAGACCACAACCTCTAGCGGTACTGGTCAAATCTTAGAGAAAGCCTCAAAAGTCGGCGAGAATTGCTCTCGATACCTTCAAAACACACTGGCAATAGCTAATCTACGTGCATATTATAAATATTATATAGCTTATGCCCAAATACTTCATGCGTGCCCTCAGTTCTCCACGCAAGAATTCACACAACACGATTTCACGATTCATTTTGTTTCTCATAATCATTATCATTAATTATTCAGCAAACCCGTTACCTCCTTACTAGAACCGAATAGTACCGATACCAATTCAACTTGCTCATTTCAGATTATGGTGTGCGTGGTGGCACACGCAAAGCAGTGTCGCATTTTGGGGTTAGTGATCTAACGTACTATAGTTTGACACTCTTAGGAGCAACGTCACTATAAGAAGGGTACAAGCGGAAAAATCATTTCTTCAAAATGAAGGGGGATGTAGGGATGGTGTATATTATGAAAAAGGATACCAACAAGAAAGACGCAAAAACAAAAATCATACGTCCATCCCTACATCTTTCTTTCTTTAGCTCTGTCTAAGAATGTGTAGGCACTCGTTTTGGCTAATTCATAACAAACCACAGTTGAGGTTGTGGGTAAAGACAGATGTAGGGATGGACGTAGGGATGGATGTATGATTTTTGTTTTCAGCTGAAGCATCTTTGTTGGTATCCTTTTGGCACCCCTTTAAAATAGGCAGAATGAGGGAATGCAGACAACTTGCAGGTGTTACCTTGAAACTAAATTAAACTGTGGCCTCAACTCTAGAAACCCAAGCAGACCTTGGAGTTAATTATACGTTCGTAATCTCAATAGCAAGACTTACTTTTGACCGTGGCGACTCCAGCACAATAGTAGCAGCAGTGCGGACAAGACAGACACGGAGTGTCACTTGGATGTCGCCCCGTGGAGAAAAATTTGTTGCGTGGAATGAGCTGGATTGCAGCTAGCTAAAGTACACACAATAGTAGCTCCTACCACAAGACGGATAGCAGGCCCAAATTCGGGAGCAAAGCGGTGGAAAACACAGGCGAGCGAATAAACTCAAAGGAG